AAAGGAAAAGGGACCACAAAACTCTCCTGGGGCCTTAAGAGGGACAATATGTTTTGTGTGCCACTTAAACCCAAAAACTTTAACACATCCCTGGGAAAAGGGGAACTACCTGAGGTAGGAAACGGCAAAAAGTAGTTCCCATTTCAAAAAAGGGGACAGAAAAAAGGGCCCAAAAAAGACCTGTGGGCATTACGTGTATTATGCAAAATTAGGAGAAGATTATCAGGGGGAGGGGGGGGACACCTGAACGGGAACGGAGTATTTAAACCAAACCCCAGGATTCCGGAAGCAAATCCTGTGTCACAAACCTTTTGGATTTTTAAAAGAAAAAAAACAGAAGTAAGATAAAAAGAGGGGGGGGGTTTTATGCATCTTCTTGACCCGCAAGAAGCCTTTGACAGTTCCTCACAAAGATTAGTGCGAAGCAAAGCATCAGCGCATATAACGGGAAGGGCACGCAATGGATCAGAGAATACCGACAGGAGGCAACAACGAGCATGGTACGTATGAGTATCACAGGGGGACCTGTGACGAGCGGGGGCCCACAGGGGCGGTCCTAGACCAGTGCTATTTTGGTAATGTAACGACTGACGGAAGGGTTAGACCAGAAGTGTCCCTGTTTGCAATGAGGAAGTTATGAGGGGAAAAATCTGATGGACCAGGGCAGGACTTCAAAGAGACCGGACAGACTGGACACCTGGGCCACAATGGCTTCCGAATTAATCCCGCCCAAAAGCAAAGTCAGAAAAGGGGGAAGGCCAGAAGACCAAGACAGAGTATAGCAGGTGGCCAAAGACTGAAACCCCACTCAAGGGAAAGACTTGGGGGGAGTAAACACCGAGCATCTCCGGGGAACACACACAACAGATAACTGCGCAGCAAAAGGGGAAACCCGGCAAACCCCGAGAACACATTCCGAAACCTTAGTAAAGGAATCTTCAAAACACTTACACCGTGTATGTCACCCATACTGGATAGCAGCACCTGTTTGGAACCCCCCTTGATAAAGCACGCAAAAAACTAGAGAAAGTAAAAGGTTTTCGACAAGGGTTTGTTCCAAGCTAAGGGGAATGCCTAGAAAAAAGATTAAAGGGGAAAAAGGCCCGACACTGGGGGGCGGGGGGGTCGGGGAGACATGATAACGCATATAAAATACTGCGGAATAGACAAGGTGGGGCAAAGACAGGGGTTTTCCCGGAGGGGCACAGAAACAAGAGGCCACAATTGGAAAGTTGAAGACCAAAAACAGAGAGATAAGGAAGTATTTCTTTGTATGAGTTTTGTAAGGGAGTGAAAACCTAAAAATCGTAGTGGGGCAGGAACCATACACAGTTTTTAAAACGAGTTTGTAAAGCCATGGGCGGGGGGGAAGAGGGGCCCATACAACCTGAAGAGGCGGGCCAGGAGCAGGACTCGACCCCCGCAACCACAAAAAGGGATACAAAAAGGGGAGTACACCCGGGAAAAACACGTCCACTCTGGGACCCCGGAACAATTCCACTCTCACCCCCCCCCACTCTCACACCCCCTGAACAACGTCCACTCCCCACCCAGGGAACACACCCTCCCTCTCACCCCAGGGAAAACTATCCACTCTCACACCCCGGGAACCACGTCCACTCGGGGGACCCAGGAACACACGTCCACTCTGGGACCCAGGGAACACATGTCCATCCACCCCCACCCCGGAACACACGTCCACTCGGCACCCCGGGAAAAACGTCCACCTCCACCCAGAACACACGTCCACCGGCCCCAGGAACACCTCCACTCTGGGACCAGAACACACGTCCACTTCCCCACCCAGAACACACGTCCACCTCAAACCCAGGAACCCACATCCCCTCACAAACCCCCCAAAACACCCACCTGGCACCCAGGGAAAACACGCCCCTCTGGCACCCAGGAACACAGTCCACTCTCCAAAAAACCCCGGGAACACACGTCCCCTGGCACCCAGGAACACACGTCCATCGGCACCCAGGAACACACTCCCCCCACCCCAGGGAAAACACGTCCACCTCACACCCAGGAACAAACCCCCAAATCGGCACCCGGAACACCTCCCCCTCTGGCACCCGGGAAAACACGACCTCTCACACCCAGGAACACACGTCCCCCCTGGCACTCAGGGAAAACAAAGTCCACTCTCACACCCGGGGAAAACACGTCCACTCTCACACCCCGGAACACACCCACTCTCACCCCAGGAACACCTCCCTGGGACCCCCGGGAAAACACGTCCACTCTGCACCCAGGAAAACATCCCCTCACACCCCCGGAACACAGTCCACTCGGCACCCCGGGAACACACTCCCCTGGGACCCCCAGGGAAAACACTCCCCTCTGGCACCCAGGAACACACTCCACTCTCACACCCAGGAACACACGTCCACTCTGGCACCCAGGAACACACGTCCACTCTGGCACCCAGGAACACACGTCCACTCTCACACCCAGGAACACACGTCCACTCTCACACCCAGGAACACACGTCCACTCTGGCACCCAGGAACACCCGTCCACTCTGCACCCAGGGAAACACTCCACTCCACACCCAGGAACACACGTCCACTCTACACCCGGAAACAACGTCCCTCTCACCCCAGGGAAAACCGTCCACTCTCACCCCAGGAACCACTCCACTCTGGGACCCAGGAAACAACCCCCACTCTGGCACCCAGGACACACGTCCCTCTCAACCCCGGAACACACGCCACTCCCCACACCCCAGGAACACACTTCCCTCTCCACCCAGGAACCCACCCACTCTCACCCCAGGAAAACCCCGTCCCTCCACAACCCAGGAAAACAGTTTCCCCTCCACACCCGGAACACACGTCCCCCTCTCACACCCAGGGAAAACACGCCCCCTCTCACACCCAGGAAAACACTCCACTCGGCACCCAAAACACACGTCCACCTCCCACACCCAGGAACACACTCCACCTCACCCCAGGAAAACACGTCCACTCTCACACCCAGGAAAACCGTCCACTTGGCACCCAGGGAAAACCGTCCACTCCACACCCAGGGAAAACCACGTCCACTCTCACACCCCGGAAAAAAAACGTCCACCTGGGACCCATGAACACACGCCACCTGGCACCCAGAACACACGTCCCCCCTCCACACCCGGAACACACGTCCACTCTCACACCCGAACACCTCCCTCTACACCCAGGAACACACTCCACTCTGGCAACCCCCGAACCACGCCCCTCTGGGACCCAGGAACAACTCCACTCTCACACCCCGGAACCACTCCCCCTCTAACCCCGGAAAAACACGCCACTCGGCACCCAGGAACACACGTCCACTCTGGCCCCAGGAACAAAACGCCAACCCCAAACCCCGGAACACACTCCACTCTGGCCCCCAGAACACACGTCCCCTCTCACACCCAGGAACACAAGTCCATCTCACACCCAGGAACACACGTCCACTCCACAAACCCCCCGGGACCCCAAAAAAACTCCACCGGAAACCCCGGAACACACGTCCACTCTCACACCCCGGAACACACGTCCCCTCACCCCCGAACCCACGTCCCTCCCCCCGGAACACTTTTTCCCTTTAAACCCCCGGGCCCCAAAGCCCTCCCCATTTAAAATTTTCCCTTGGGGGAAAACGACTTAAAAAACCAAATTTTAAAAAAAAAAATAAAATTTTAAAGAAGGGGGAAAAAACCCCCTCCCCCCCTCTTTTAAAAACCCAAAAATTCTGAAAAAAAAAAGAAAAAACCCAAAGGGAAAAAATTATTCTGGCAGAAACATAAAGAAACAAAAAAAAACATTACCCGGCCCCCTTTTCCCCCGAGGTTTTTTTTTTTTAAAACAACCCCTCTAACAAAACATTTTTTGTGTTGCAGAAAGCGCCCTTAATAATCTTTAAAAAATTAAAAGACCCCTTTTAATCCCCAATAATTTTTTAAAAAATTTGAAAAAAGTAAAGAGGGGGTAAAAGACCTCCTTGCACTTCGTTAGTCGGTAAAAAACTTTCCTAGTTTTTCCAAAAGGTTTTCTTCTTTCCTTGGAGTGAGGATTTTTCTAACAATGTTTGTTGGTGGGGGCCCTGTCCGTGGCCTGCAAAGTAATCAAACTTGGTTGAATACCACAACCTGGGGTTAATCAACCACCCCCTTGGGGAAAAGAAAGCCCAGTGCCCAATTTCCCTTGTCTACAACCCTTTTTCCGCCGGACTAAAAATTTTGTTCCTTCGCCAGATTTACCCTTTGTTACACATTTCCCGGCCCAATACCCGTAATAACCTTTTTGCCAGACTCCTTCCAATACACTTCGCCAACCAATTCCCGGAAAATCCCTTTTTCCAGAAAAATCCCAGCCCCCCACCTCCCCGGAACCCCCCTTTTTCAAAAGGGGAGGGTTTTTTCCAACAAAACACAGGTATAACTTCACAACATTTTTCCTTCTTGTTTTCATGAACCCACAACGAAATAAAACCTGCAACATTTCGATCCAAGCTGAGCCTTTTTAACGAAGTTGAACCTGGCAACATTTTTGGCAAAGATTTTCCCAAAATTCTCATTCTTCAAAATTTTTCTTTTTTCTAGACCATTTACTCAATTATTATAAGTCAAAAAATGGTCCCCGGGCTGAGCGAAACTTCATCGATGTTTTTTTCTTCAATTTGATTGCCTTCCTCTTCTTCCCATTGCCGAAACACTATACCCTTCGGATTTCGCCTTCCGAGAAATTTAAAAAGAAATTTTAAAAACGGCTTTAAAACGACACACACAAACTCTGAGCTCCATAACGACAGACACAACACAACTACTCCATAACAAAACACACAACACAAACTGACTCCATAACGACAGACACAATACAATCTAGCTCCTACACAACAACACAATCTAAGTTCCATAACGCATACACACAAACTAATTCCAAACGACACACAACACAATCTAAGCTCCATAACGACACACAACACAATCTAAGCTCCATAACGACGCACTTTACACCCTCCGGCAGGTATGGAGCGAAGGTCCATGGAAGAGGAACTAACCTGCAGCGTATGCTCGGAGATTTACTCTGCAGGGTCGAGGGAGCCAGTGGTCCTGCCTCTCTGCGGCCACACCTTCTGCAGGCAGTGTGTCCACGGTGTGACTGAGGCTAGAGATGGGGTGTTACAATGCCCCACCTGCAGGACGCCACACCCACATACCCCTCTCCATCACCTCCCCACCGTGTACGCTCTGCTTAACTTGTCCGAGACTTACAGGAGGTCTGAGGTGAGTTGCGAGGGAGGAGGAGAAGACAACAAAGGAGAGAAATGGGAAAGGATAGAATGGAAAAGGAGGAGAGTGTGGGACAGGAGGAGAGTGTGGGAAAGGAGGAGATTGTGGAAAAGGAGGAGAGTGTGGGAAAGGTGGAAAGAGATGGGAAAGGAGAATGGGAGAGGAGAGTGTGGGAAAGGAGATGGAAAAGGAGTCGGAAAGGTGAGATATGGGAAAGGAAAGTGAAGGAGGCTGGAGAATTATTATTTGTTATTGCTTTTGTTATTATTATTAGTAGTATTATTACTGATGTAGTTAGTATCATTGTTAGTGATGTGATTATTCTTACTGATATGATTATTATTACTGATGTTTATTATGACTAATGTGATTATTCTGACTGATGTGATTATTATTATCGCTTGTGTTTGATCAGCGTGGAGTATGTAATGAACATGGCTCACCTCTGGAGTTCTGGTGTCGAGGGTGCCAGAAGTCTCTGTGTGGCCACTGTCTCCTCGACGCCCACTTACAGGATGGCCACACGGTGGTGCTGGCCACAGTGTTCATTGAGGAGCGCAAGAGAGACATCCAAAGCCTGGGCACGCAGCTAGTCCAGGGGATTCAGACCAGGACGGACAGTGTGATCGGTGGCCTCGTCGATTTAGTGAAGGAGATCGCTCGGGGAACAGAAGTGAGCCGAGTTCTCAGCTCCTCAGCTCAGATGGTGGAGAGGATCTTGACGGATACAGCTGGTCTCCACAGCATCGATTCAGTACTCGTGTCCTCCACTCTGATGGAGAGTTTGCAAACGGAGGTGCAAAGAATTTCAACATCGCCAGCTCCTCTGGAGGAGACACCTGAAAAGGGAAACAGGAAGACGAGGTGCATATCCTGTTCTCTGTTAGAGACTTCACTGGAAATGTCTCGCCAGGTTTCTGTCAGCGAGGCAGAGTGGCAAGAGACTTCCCTGGACGAGGCTGAGCAGACTCCACATCCTGACGGTCAAAAGCAGAATACCACTTGGCAAACTTCAGTGACTTCCAGCCAGGAGACTAACACAAGCCAGGAAATCTTGGAAGGGGGAGGAGTCAGTCGTAGTAATAGCACTTCGGAAGGTGAGGCGGTGGAGGGATCAGATGGGGCGGCTGTAGGCGTCCCGAAGACTCCCTGGCCACTTCGATGTTGTGTGCTGAGTTCCGACAATCGGACCGGGGAGTTGAGGACGGAGCAAGATCGCCTCCACCTACACGCCTTGAAGGACAACTGTGCTACAACCCATTTTGTGATTCACGTAGGTTATAATTAATTATTAATTTTAGCAGTGTTAGTTATTATTATTAATATTGTTATTATTATTATATTATTATTATTATTTAATTTTTTGACACATTCGTTCTTCTTATCTTTTGTTTTACTGTCACAGTTTTAATAATTTAATAATTCATGTTAAGCGCTAAACCCGTGTGGGTGATTCAGCGCAAGACGTAGTGGAGGCTTGATCCTCCGTCTGCTGAGCGCCAGACAGACGTACTCACCAGCCTTTATTACATTTTTAGGTTAACATTATTACTGTGATGTTCAGTATTATTTATTTCATCATGGTTTTTAGTTATAGTGAGATAAGACGTTGTCAGAGATGTTTGACCTCCCTCAAGTGCTTAGTTAAATAAGTCCTCTTATTCCCATATGTTCAGTATGTTAATGTTTCCTCCACTAGTGGTTTGTATCAACAATGTTTTGCTATACAAGTGTTATACATCCATAATATTGACTCACGGAATCGTAATAACACAATTACATACAAACCACGGAATGGGTGGAGCTTTAGGATTCACTTGGCATAGGTTCGAACCCCACCCTTTCCGTGGTTTATCAATAATACTTTCCCCTCCCCACAGATGTCACTACTGGAGTCGCTAATAAACGAGAAGCCAGAGGTGTTCCTGGACATAGGAGTGGACGGCAAAATCCTTGGACGAGTGTACATCCTGCTTTATGGCCACCTCCGTAGAGCACAGCACTTCCTGGCTCTGTGTCTTGGTACATTTGGACCTTCTTATAGGGACAGCAAGTTCCATGGGGTGGTCAAGCCAGGAGCCCCTGGGGAAACTCTCGCAGGAGGCAAATATGTGACCCCTGAGGGTCTGAGCGTTCAGGGACTGATGGAAGACTTAGAGTGGGGTGGTAAGTGCATCAGAGAGAAGACAGTAGGGCTGGTTGTGGGCGCCAGCGGTGGTAAGCCAGAGCTGGATGCGTTTTTCCACATTTGCACCCGCGAGGACAGAGGAAAAAAGTTTGCGTGTGTCTTCGGTGAGGTGGTAAGAGGGATTGAGGTGCTTCATGATGCTGTCAAACATGTCCGTACCAGAGACGTTACTGTTGTTGATGTCGGTGTTGTGATCCCCAACTCACGTCGACACCTTAATTACGAGTTAACTAGCTATCAGCCATATATGCTCTAAACTACATGAGTGCCAATTGTTTACATGGTTGTGTCAGAAGCTAGATACAGGTATGGTAGAATTATAGACAGTGAAACCATGGTATGGGTGGGGTTAGAACCCATGGCGAGTCGTAACACTCCATACCGGTGGTATGGAGTGTTACGACTGTGACCACAAAATCAATTCTACAGACAATCTGTCGCCAGCGTGGCCGTGACGAACTAGAGTTATGTACCCACTGAGCCATAAAGACAGTGAAGTACAGGTACACCGTTTGTGGGTTCCTTCACTCTTTAGCCTTTATATTCACAACAGAACTGTCCTAAAGTATATATCTCAAAGGTGGGAGCAGATTACAACTGCGGATTTCCAACTATCAGCTTGAGAAAAATATAAAAAGAGTTTCAACTGAATTGCATTGACTTTAGACTGACTGATGTAAACACAGTCGGACCGTCTATCATCATTAGTCAACTAATCTAATGGTTATAATCATAACCATAATTTTTAAAGGGATGGACCGGTGAGCCAGTGGAAGGCCTCGGTTTAGATGACTGAAAGCCCCAGCTTCGGGTCATCATATGACTAAGTCCCACGTCTGGAAACACTTGTCTTGTTTCCTGACAAACTTTGCCCAACCTGACGTATCAGTGTATCATGCGAGAAGTACCACTGACAGTCTCAGCTGATCTACAACACCTCGGGGAGTTCATACCAACAGTTGATATGGACATAACTACATTATGTGTTGTAATTCGAATAAAATTATCGTGAATTTAGAGACAAATTACTTACAAATGTTCGAGACATGTTAATATATTTTATTCACGGCAGCATATTACCAACCATGCTGGAAAAATAACTGTGTCCATTACCTGGAGTTTACCTGGAGAGAGTTTCGGGGGTCAACGCCCCCGCGGCCCGGTCTGTGACCAGGCCTCCTGCCATTGTAAACAACTCATAACTATTTACAATTGTTTAAGATGAACAATGCCTTACTAAAATATAACCATATATAAATAACTCATTACGACTGTTACCAGGTCATCAACTTGTAAATAATTACCATTTTGACAACTTAATATCTGACACTGTAATCTTTGTTACAGTCCACAGGATGGGTATGGGGTGATTACCACCCACAGGATGGGTATGGGGTGATTACCACCCACAGGATGGGTATGGGGTGATTACCACCCACAGGATGGGTATGGGGTGATTACCACCCACAGGATGGGTATGGGGTGATTACCACCCACAGGATGGGTATGGGGTGATTACCACCCACAGGATGGGTATGGGGTGATTACCACCCACAGGATGGGTATGGGGTGATTACCACCCACAGGATGGGTATGGGGTGATTACCACCCACAGGATGGGTATGGGGTGATTACCACCCACAGGATGGGTATGGGGTGATTACCACCCACAGGATGGGTATGGGGTGATTACACCCACAGGATGGGTATGGGGATGATTACACCCACAGGATGGGTATGGGGTGATTACCACCCACAGGATGGGTATGGGGTGATTACCACCCACAGGATGGGTATGGGGTGATTATCACCCACAGGATGGGTATGGGGTGATTACCACCCACAGGATGGGTATGGGGTGATTACCACCCACAGGATGGGTATGGGGTGATTATCACCCACAGGATGGGTATGGGATGATTATCACACACAGGATGGGTATGGGGTGATTACCACCCACAGGATGGGTATGGGGTGATTACCACCCACAGGATGGGTATGGGGTGATTACCACCCACAGGATGGGTATGGGGTGATTACCACACACAGGATGGGTATGGGGTGATTACACCACAGGATGGGTATGGGGTGATTACACCACAGGATGGGTATGGGGTGATTACCACCCACAGGATGGGTATGGGGTGATTATCACCCACAGGATGGGTATGGGGTGATTATCACCCACAGGATGGGTATGGGATGATTATCACACACAGGATGGGTATGGGGTGATTACCACCCACATGATGGGTATGGGGTGATTACCACCCACAGGATGGGTATGGGATGATTATCACACACAGGATGGGTATGGGGTGATTATCACACACAGGATGGGTATGGGGTGATTACCACCCACAGGATGGGTATGGGTGATTACACACACAGGATGGGTATGGGATGATTATCACCCACAGGATGGGTATGGGATGATTATCACCCACAGGATGGGTATGGGGATGATTACCACCACAGGATGGGTATGGGGTGATTACCACCACAGATGGGTATGGGGTGATTACCACCCACAGGATGGGTATGGGATGATTATCACACACAGGATGGGTATGGGGTGATTACCACCCACAGGATGGGTATGGGGTGATTACCACCCACAGGATGGGTATGGGATGATTATCACACACAGGATAGGTATGGGGTGATTACCACCCACAGGATGGGTATGGGATGATTATCACAGACAGGATGGGTATGGGGTGATTACCACCCACAGGATGGGTATGGGATGATTATCACACACAGGATGGGTATGGGGTGATTACCACCCACAGGATGGGTATGGGATGATTATCACACACAGGATGGGTATGGGGTGATTACCACCCACAGGATGGGTATGGGGTGATTACCACCCACAGGATGGGTATGGGATGATTATCACACACAGGATGGGTATGGGGTGATTACCACCCACAGGATGGGTATGGGATGATTACCACCCACAGGATGGGTATGGGGTGATTAACACCCACAGGATGGGTATGAGATGATTATCACACACAGGATGGGTATGGGGTGATTACCACCCACAGGATGGGTATGGGATGATTATCACACACAGGATGGGTATGGGGTGATTACCACCCACAGGATGGGTATGGGATGATTATCACACACAGGATGGGTATGGGGTGATTACCACCCACAGGATGGGTATGGGATGATTACCACCCACAGGATGGGTATGGGTGATTACACCCACAGGATGGGTATGGATGATTATCACACACAGGATGGGTAAGGGGTGATTACCACCCACAGGATGGGTATGGGATGATTATCACACAGGATGGGTATGGGGTGATTACCACCCACAGGATGGGTATGGGATGATTACACACACAGGATGGGTATGGGGTGATACCACCACAGGATGGGTATGGGTGATTACCACCCACAGGATGGGTATGGGGATGATTATCACACACAGGATGGGTATGGGGTGATTACCACCCACAGGATGGGTATGGGATGATTATCACACACAGGATGGGTATGGGGTGATTACCACCCACAGGATGGGTATGGGGTGATTACCACCCACAGGATGGGTATGGGATGATTACCACCCACAGGATGGGTATGGGGTGATTACCACCCACAGGATGGGTATGGGGTGATTACCACCCACAGGATGGGTATGGGATGATTATCACACACAGGATGGGTATGGGGTGATTACCACCCACAGGATGGGTATGGGGTGATTACCACCCACAGGATGGGTATGGGGGTGATTACACCCACAGGATGGGTATGGGGTGATTACCACCCACAGGATGGGTATGGGGTGATTACCACCCACAGGATGGGTATGGGGTGATTACCACCCACAGGATGGGTATGGGGTGATTACCACCCACAGGATGGGTATGGGGTGATTACCACCCACAGGATGGGTATGGGGTGATTACCACCACAGGATGGGTATGGGGTGATTACCACCCACAGGATGGGTATGGGGTGATTACCACCCACAGGATGGGTATGGGGCGATTACCACCCACAGGATGGGTATGGGGTGATTACCACACACAGGATGGGTATGGGGTGATTACCACCCACAGGATGGGTATGGGGTGATTACCACCCACAGGATGGGTATGGGATGATTATCACACACAGGATGGGTATGGGGTGATTACCACCACAGGATGGGTATGGGGTGATTACCACCTACAGGATGGGTATGGGGCGATTACCACCCACAGGATGGGTATGGGGTGATTACCACCCACAGGATGGGTATGGGGTGATTACCACCCACAGGATGGGTATGGGGTGGATACCACCTACAGGATGGGTATGGGGCGATTACATCCCACAGGATGGGTATGGGGTGATTACCACCCACAGGATGGGTATGTGGTGATTACCACACACAGGATGGGTATGCGGTGGATACCACCCACAGGATGGGTATGGGGTGATTACCACCCACAGGATGGGTATGGGGCGATTACCGCCCACAGGATGGGTATGGGGTGGATACCACCTACAGGATGGGTATGGGGCGATTACTACTCACAGGATGGGTATGGGGTGATAACCACCCACAGGATGGGTATGGGGTGAATACCACCTACAGGATGGGTATGGGGCGATTATCACCCATAGGATGGGTGTATAATGGTTACCACCCACAGGATGGGTGGTGAATGGATACCACCTACAGGATGGGTGTGTATGGGTTACACCCACAGGATGGGTGTGGTATGGTTACCACCCACAGGATGGGTAGTGTGTGGGTTACCACCACAGGATGGGTTGCGGTGGATTACCACCCACAGGATGGGTGTGTAATGGTTACCACCCACAGGATGGGTGTGTAATGGTTACCACCCACAGGATGGGTGTGTAATGGTTACCACCCACAGGATGGGTGTGTAATGGATTACCACCACAGGATGGGTGTGTATGGGTGATACCACCCACAGGATGGGTGTGTAATGGTTACCACCACAGGATGGGTGTGTATGCGATTACCACCCACAGGATGGGTGTGTAATGGTTACCACCCACAGGATGGGTGTGTAATGATCACCACCCACAGGATGGGTGTGTAATGGTTACCACCCACAGGATGGGTGTGTAATGTCACCACCCACAGGATGGGTGTGTAATGGTTACCACCCACAGGATGGGTGTGTAATGATTCACCACCCACAGGATGGGTGTGTAATGGTTACCACCCACAGGATGGGTGTAATGATCACCACCCACAGGATGGGTGTGTAATGGTTACCACCCACAGGATGGGTGTGTAATGATCACCACCCACAGGATGGGTGTGTAATGGTTACCACCCACAGGATGGGTGTGTAATGATCACCCACAGGATGGGTGTGTAATGGTTACCACCCACAGGATGGGTGTGTAATGATCACCACCCACAGGATGGGTGTGTAATGGTTACCACCCACAGGATGGGTGTGTAATGATCACCACCCACAGGATGGGTGTGTAATGGTTACCACCCACAGGATGGGTGTGTAATGATCACCACCCACAGGATGGGTGTGTAATGGTTACCACCCACAGGATGGGTGTGTAATGATCACCACCCACAGGATGGGTGTGTAATGGTTACCACCCACAGGATGGGTGTGTAATGATCACCACCCACAGGATGGGTGTGTAATGGTTACCACCCACAGGATGGGTGTGTAATGATCACCACCCACAGGATGGGTGTGTAATGGTTACCACCCACAGGATGGGTGTGTAATGATCACCACCCACAGGATGGGTGTGTAATGGTTACCACCCACAGGATGGGTGTGTAATGATCACCACCCACAGGATGGGTGTGTAATGGTTACCACCCACAGGATGGGTGTGTAATGGTTACCACCCACAGGATGGGTGTGTAATGGTTACCACCCACAGGATGGGTGTGTAATGATCACCACCCACAGGATGGGTGTGTAATGGTTACCACCCACAGGATGGGTGTGTAATGATCACCACCCACAGGATGGGTGTGTAATGGTTACCACCCAGGATGGGTGTGTAATGATCACCACCCACAGGATGGGTGTGTAATGGTTACCACCCACAGGATGGGTGTGTAATGATCACCACCCACAGGATGGGTGTGTAATGGTTACCACCCACAGGATGGGTGTGTAATGATCACCACCCACAGGATGGGTGTGTAATGGTTACCACCCACAGGATGGGTGTGTAATGATCACCACCCACAGGATGGGTGTGTAATGGTTACCACCCACAGGATGGGTGTGTAATGATCACCACCCACAGGATGGGTGTGTAATGGTTACCACCCACAGGATGGGTGTGTAATGATCACCACCCACAGGATGGGTGTGTAATGGTTACCACCCACAGGATGGGTGTGTAATGATCACCACCCACAGGATGGGTGTAGTAATGGTACACCACAGATGGTGTGTAATGTATCACCATCCACAGGATGAGTTGTAATGTTACACCCAAGTATGGATTGTAATGATCAACACAGGATGGGTGTTAATGTTACACCCACAGATGGGTTGTAATATATACCACCCAAGATGGTGTGTAATGGTTACCACCCAACAGATGGTTTGTGTAATGAATCACCATTCCACAGGAGGGTATTAATGTAACCACCACAGAATGGATGTTAATATTCACCATCAAGATGGTGTTTAATGGTTACCACCCACAGGATGGGTGTGTAATGATCACCATAACCCAAGCAAGATGTTAGATAAATAGGTATACCACCCACATGCATGGGTGTGTAATGATCACCACCCACAGGATGGTTGTAATGGTTACCACCCACAGGATGGTTTAATGATCACACCCACAGGATGGGTGTGTAATGGTTACCACCCACAGATATGTGTGTAATGATCACCACACAGAATGGTGGTAGGTTCCACTCGGATTTGGATATGTATATTGTTCACTACCACGTTTTGTGTGTAATGTTAAACACAGTGAAATTTGTATATGATCACTCATTATATTATTATGTTGTATTATTTACTTCACCAAGATATGGGATGTTTAATGATCACATATTCCTACAGTATTGGTGATGTAATGGATTACACCATAGGTATGATTAATATCGATCACCACTCTCACAGGATTTCGATACATGTAGACCACATTGTTATAATAATTAAAATCGACTTGTTTGTATGTATGATAGCTGCATGAACACGTTACGTATATATAAATTTTAAATAATATATATATATATATATGATATATATACTATATAGAATATATTATACTATATATAACTTATACAATATATATATAATTATAATATATATATAATATATATAATATATATATATATATAATAATTAATATATATATATATAATATACAGCATAGTTTATTCGATTTATATAATAACGTATATTTTCACAAGGTAAAAAAGTTATCTATAAACATTATAATAAACATTAATATAACTTAAAATATTTAGTTTTTGTATCTGTAGTTTTTAATGTGTATTTATATGGAAAAATTTGTCTTTAAACCCAGAAGGGGTGGTAACCCAGGGTAACCCAGGGTAACCCAGGGTAACCCAGGAAAGCCAAGCCATTTAAGAATAAAACTAAGTATGCCCGAAATGCCTAGCCATGCTAAGCGTTCTAGTGGTACACTCTGTAATCACAATTTTACTACATGTAAACCAAACAATAACCAAATTTCTGTAAACTCAGCATTGTAATCCTTATAGAGAATAAACTTTGAATTTGAATTTGAATTTGAATTTGAATGTGGCTTAGTTCCATTCGGGATTTTGGCCCATATATACTATTGTTCACTTACCTACCTCTTTTTTTGTGCATTTAAAGACTGTGAAAATTTATTATTATCATTATTATTATTATTATTATTATTATTATTATTATTATCATCATCATTAGCAAATCACCTGCAGGAGGTTTACAGGGCATCACGTGAATTATTTCCTACAAGTAATTTGGTTGAGGTAAGTGGGACTTAAGTCACAGTAGGTCACTGAATTACCACTCCTTCGACTGCCCACTTCCTCACTACTTTCACAACAAGTTAGACCTAACATTAATGATTATAAAATTAAAACTCTGGTACATTGAATTTTGGTGAACTGTATGATTAGTCTTGCTGGATACACAAAAAATATAACTATCAGTACAAAGAACTTTGTATTACCACTTACCATTTAATTGCTGGAAGACAACGCTGATGGAACACACTCTAACTTAACCCCTGGCAGCTAGTATTTACGATGGCCAACACAAAAACTACTGCACATTATGGGTAATTTTGTCACTTAGCTAAGGTGTGTTGAGACAAGAGTCATCAAGTCCTCTGCTTGTCGTCCTCCACACACAGTTCTTGCAGTCCCGCGAATTTCCTGTCTAATTCTTCAGCAGGAACGTGTCAGCAATTTCTAAATTACGAATTGAGGCCGATACACCCCATTAGGCCTCCAAAAACGCCTGATTATGAACAGAATTTCCCACCACAACCAGTGTTCACAAATTGCAAATGGCGTCCCCCCCCCGGCGTCCCAAATGGCTGTTCCACCCCCCTTAAAATTTCTCGAAGGATTCAAACAGTATTATATTTTATCACACAATTATTATATTATTTATTCAAATGTTCTACATTTAGGAAATTGTGTAAAAAAATTCCACAGACTCCTACTTAATAACCTATGGAAATTAGTCACTTTGACTTTCCTGGGTTATCCTGGTTAATTTACACATATGTTGCTATGTATGATAATTTATGTAATTGTATTTATGTGTAACCGAACCTGAATAAACATACGATGGTCCACGACCTAGTAGGCAACGCTCTCGCTTCATACACTGAGTGTCCGTGGTTCGATTCCCGGTACAGGTGAAAACATTGCGCGCATAACGGAGATAAAACACCTCAATTATTGGGAGCGCTTGAGGTTCCTAAACCTGTATTCCCTGGAACGCAGGAGGGAGAGATACATGATTATATACACCTGGAAAATCCTAGAGGGACTAGTACCGAACTTGCACACGAAAATCACCCACTACGAAAGCAAAAGACTTGGCAGACGATGCACCATCCCCCCAATGAAAAGCAGGGGTGTCACTAGCACGTTAAGAGACCATACAATAAGTGTCAGGGGCCCGAGACTGTTCAACTGCCTCCCAGCACACATAAGGGGGATTACCAACAGACCCCTGGCAGTCTTCAAGCTGGCACTGGACAAGCACCTAAAGTCAGTTCCGGATCAGCCGGGCTGTGGCTCGTATGTTGGTTTGCGTGCAGCCAGCAGCAACAGCCTGGTTGATCAGGCTCTGATCCACCAGGAGGCCTGGTCTCAGACCGGGCCGCGGGGGCGTTGACCCCCGGAACTCTCTCCAGGTAAACTCCAGGTAAACACCTGCTGTCCCTGTTCACCTAACAAGGAAGTAGGTACCTGGGTGTTAGTGGACTGGTGTGGGCGGCATCCTGGAGGACAAAATTAAGGATCCCTAATGGAAATAAAACAGTCCTCGATGGCTGCCTTTATTTGGTCATCCTAGGTGGCTAACCCTCCGGGGTTAAAATTCCGAATAAAATCTTCTCTTACATGCCTTAGGCTTACTCAGCCCGACATGCACTGCATGCTAGTGACTTTTTATGCTTAACAATATTCTATTACATGTTAACCAGAAAGGAAATAAATTTATATTTGTATTTCTTACCTCGCCCGGGAATTGAATTTAGGTGCTTTTGGGTGCGTAATTTACCACAACGCGGCCCTTTGGCCGTATGAACCTTACAACCAACAAGAATGTCGTCTGCTGGTGACGCAACATTGAACATGTCAAAATCAGCATCGCCCAACATCATATCTTTATTTCTATAAGTACATGTACAAGGTATACAGAAGAAAGCCGACATCAATGACATACCACTGTGCCTCGTGGCCTGGTGGCTAAAGTTCTTGCTTCACACGGCGAGGGTCCGGGTTCGATTCCCGGTGATGTTAGAAACATTGGGCGTGTTTCTTTACACCGGTTGTCTATGTTCACCCATCAGTAAAATGGGTACCTGGGTGTTAGTGGACTGATGTGGGTCGCATCTTGGGACAAACTGACCTAATTTGCCCTGAATGCTCAGCATAACAAGCGACTTTCTGTATAGTAGGATGGCATTGATGTCAGCTATGGTCTGTATAAGTTGTATCATGTACTTGTAGAAATAAAGAAATTATTATTATTATTATTATTATTATTATTATTATTATTATTATTATTATTATTACATACATAACCCTGCGTCCCGGGAGAAAGGGCTCAATAAGATGTCAACTTTGGTGAGCCTTAACAACCCCAACAACAAGATGTCAGAAGACTTCTGCACCAGCCTTCGTCAGGTGTGGAAGTCTCTCTCTCGCCTGTGTATCAGTGACAAATTTCCACCGTTCTCACTGGGACGCTTGTCCTCGTCTATTTAGCCGGCCGGGCACTCTACAGGAGGGGCACCTGTTCATCGGCTTACTTTAGCAAGCTCCATTTTTTCCGCTCTGCGGAAAATTCTTTAACGGTCTTTGGTTGGAAGCCGGTTACTGAACTCAGGTGGGAGTGTGGGCGTCCCTCTTTGCTGGAGCTTGGCAAGGGCGTCCACCAGATCTAAATGGAAACTCCAAGTTTCTATCTCTATTTACAAAGGAAGTTTTGTTTCTTTTCTTTCATCGCCCAGCCTTGGCCAACAAATCTTCCTCGTACCCAATGGAAATAAGTCACTCAGTCTGACTTTTTTGGGTTATCCTAGGTTCTCTACACATATGCTGCTATGTATGATAATTATATGTAACTGTATTGTGTATACCTGAATAAATTTACTTACTTACTTACTTACTTACTTACCATCGAGGAACCGGACTCAATACGGCTTAGGCTGTCAGTGGCCCTGATAAACCCAACAACAACAAAAATAATAATGTGTCAACTTTGGTGAGCCTTAACAACCCCAACAACAACAAGGTGGTGCTCATGGTTGTGTAAGTTGTTGAAAACTTGTGGTTGTTGCAGCTTGTGGTGCTTCTGGACTTGTATATCAGTGATGCTTAACACAAGATGAGCCCAATTTAACGTATGTTGTCCATTTGGTATTGTAAAATTGTTAGTATTTATGTAGGGTTTTCAGTGCTTACCTGGAAAATATTTCGTAACTGGAATGGGTATAGAGCAAAAGAACGAGACCTTTGTGGGTTTAGCGCTTAATTTTTATTGTAAAAAACAATAATAATAAGAATGTAGCATAAACAGGTCCACTTGATACACATCCACACTCAGGGGCCAGGAGCTGTGACTCGACCCCCGCAACCACAACTAGGTGAGCACACGTATGATCATCCCGTCTATTTATTTAAAACTAACTGCCCCTCAAGGAAGGTTCCTTGATGCTGCTGAGGGGATCTTGATCTGGGGAATTGGATTTGTGCTCCAGTTCCCTGAATTGAGCCTGAAAACCTTCCACCCCCCACAGGCACTGTATAATTCCTATGGGTTTAGCGCTCCTCATGATTATAATAATAATAATAATAATTAAGATTACCTGAGCCTCACACCTCTATAACACCACCTGAGAGATTGTTCCACTCATCTACATTATTATTACATTTATGGGAACGTTTAACTCGTAAGGATCATATAGGGCCTGGGGAAATAGGTGGCAAGTTCAGTTTGTTAGATAAAGAACATCAAGGAACTTCTCTTGATGGTGTCCACTCATCTATAACTGTTGCTAAATCATTACTTCCCTATGTTATTACTGACTGTAAATGCGTCCAATTTGAATCCATTGACCCATAGGTGTCCCATAGATCAATTTCTAGCACACATAGCTCACACACTGATGTCCGGGTTCGATCCCCAGTATGGTTGGAAATATTAGGATGTATTACTATAAGACACCTGCTGTCCACGTTCATCCATCGGTAAAATAGGTACCCGAGTATTAATTGATTGGTGTGAGCTGCATCCTGGGACAAAATTGACCTAATTTGCCTTAAATGCCCTGTATAACAAGGGGCTTTCTGTATAGTAGTACATATATCATTAATGTCAGCTAGACCTTGTACTTGTAGTAAATAAATATTTTATTATTATACTGTACTATTGTTATTGCTGCAAGTTCTGTCTTGGTTATATAACTACTTCTAACACTTTATTTATATTCTCTTTATTTCTGTTTTCCATTTATATGCTTCAATCATATCTCTCTTAATTTTCTGTCTTCCCAGAGAGCACAAAATCAGTGCCTTCAGCCTATCTGCAGGCTGAGGGACTGATTACTCCAAACTCCTCATCTTCCACTGTTTTTTCTCTGTATTGGACTGAAGAAGCCACTAGCGGGCAAAATGTTTTCTCAATAAAATTCCCTGATGTTGCACAGGTGTTTTATTCTTAAAGATGATGCATAATGAGAGGACCTACCACATGTGAGAGTCTGTAGTTTCATAGCACTTCCCTCATAAAATACATAAAAATGTATAATACAATACTCTCTCATTAAACAGTGGTTATGATTCTTGAAATAAAAAAACATACAAGTATACATAAAACAATATTTTCTTAACTCATATTTTGGTTACTTGCCAAAGTAATTAGTTTGATATAGATTTTTTTGCTTGCGATCCTGAGTGTTCTTACCTCATTATAGACCAAATAGTTCCTCCCATTTGTACAATATTATTAGCTATTGATTCAGTTGGTACAGTACTGAGCTGTATTTACAATATACAGTACACAGTTCTCATTACAGACTGTAATCTCATAATAATGCAATATAGTGAATTCATTGCCTATACAGTACTTTATTCTACTGTACTTTAGTGAAAATTCCCTGTTGAGGTACAGTACAGGAATATATTCAGATGATATTAAAGTATAATACTGTCATGATAATAATGTAAAACTTTAGCCCATTTAATTGTATTTCCAGTTATTATGCCTCGACACAGTAGGGTACAGAAGGAAGTCCTTCATTTATACAAGCAGTGTCTTCGGGCAGCCGAGAAGAAGCCAAGTTTTTATAGCAGCGTGCAACAAGAGTTTCGCAAAAATGCTGCCATTCCAAAAACAGATTTACTTCGCGTAGAGCACTTACTTCGACAAGGCTGGCGGAAGCTGAAAATGATGCAAGATCCATTTGTCATTGGCATGGGACATTTTCATAAGTGAATGATACTGTTATTTATTAAACCTGAAGCATTTAAGAAGAGAAGGGTATTTGAAAATCAAATGTTTTATACAATATGTATTATATTCTGTATTGAGAATAACTATATTTTTCCAAGAAACTGTCAAAATAATGTTCTTATAGTCAAGTTTGCCAACCCAGTCTCAAAATGGCAAGCAGTATTGTTTATGTCCAAAAATTGGGACGTATGCGATACTTACCAACTTGGGAGTACCAGAAAATAATTGCAGAAAGGGTACAAAAAAATGTGAAGTGTGGGAAGGACCCCCAGCACACTCTTCTTCTTGTGGAACACCAGCCAGGTATGGACTGAAGACTTCCCTTAGATCTGGCAAATATTTACTATAAGATAATTTAAGATATTTAATTCTACACTGATGTATGGTATATATGCTCTGGGGGCTAAATATAAATTAATTTTAATTTTCTTAATTAAAAGTAATATACAACATGATTGCAATGTAACCTTGTAGGGAGATGGATGGTGTGATAAAAAATATATATATGATAGAAAGTTTTGGATATTTTCTTGTGTATTATACAATATTACGATTTCGTGAGTCAGTTATTATACAATATATTAACTACATTTACATTATACTTTATGCTAACAGTGTACACAACTGGCATCCGTGAATATGAGTATTCAGCTGAGGTGGAAACTCGGCTGAAGGCTACAGGTGCAGACTTTCATCGTACAAACCGTGGGGGACTTATAACTTTCCATGGACCTGGGCAACTGATAGCCTACCCCATTGTACACTTGAAATCTTTCACTTCAGGTATTAAGTGGTAAGGTCCTATTGAACTTCTGAATCATTTTTGGAAGAAATCTTTTGTCACTGTCATAGTTAATGCAAACTGCTCAAGCATATCTTTACTGTTTCTTTGTTGTTTTGACTTATCAGTCTTATCCCGTAATTCAGTTTTTCTTGCATTGTTTTCCTTGTATGTACAAATATCCTATACAGTTATGTGTGGATTGTATTAATAACATATATCTCTGATTTCAATAGGTATGTGTGCGCACTGGAGCAGACTATCATGCACACCTTGGAGTCGCTGGGAGTTGTTGGTGCACACAGGTCACCTCATACTGGGGTGTGGGTGGGTGAAAATAAACTATGTGCAATAGGTATATATGTACTTATCATTTTTATGTGTAGAATACTTGTAGACATTTAGTTATCTGAGCTGAAAGGGGTGACTTCAAGAAATAAACAGGTTGGATAATTAATAATTTTTAAATATAATTCCAAAATATGCTTAAAAGGGAAAATGAGATTTTTTTTTTACACCATTATTCTTCTTCCAAGATAGGGTGGACTCCCCCCCCCCCTCCCAGTAAGAAAAGCAAACACATTCACTCAATTGCTGTTTTGCTAAAGGTATGCTGATATTATGGTTCAGGTGACTCTGAACTGCAACATTTTCGCCCCTCCTTTAGGGAATGCACTGTACCTTCAGGACTCACATCTGGTTAACTGGTTTCCTTGAATTTCTTCATAAGTGTGTTGCTCACATGAAGTCATAAAAACCACTTGTTTCCACTCACCCTGCTCTAACATACTCACACAAACTTGTTGTTCATATTCAAGCCTTTAGCTCTTGAAACCTAATTTATCTCTCTCTGCAATCCTTCCTGGGATAACCTGTACCCCTTCTTCCTCCCACCCCCAGATTTACATATCTTTGTCATCTTAATTCACTCCAACCTCTCTGAATGCCCAAACCACTTCAGCAAAATTTTCTCAACCTTCTGAATTATACATTTAATGACCCTACATCATTTTCTAATCTCCATGTTTCAAATTCTGTGCATAATATTTATGCCACACTTTGCCCTCCAACATGACATCTCTATTGCCGCCAACCTCACTGCAATGTTTAACCCTTAAACTATCCAAACGTAGATCTACGTTTGCTCATGTAGCGCTCCAAACATAGATCTACGTTTGCTCGTGTAGCGCTCCAAACATAGATCTACGTTTTTTTCTTTACATGCTTTCAAATGGAGAAAATCAAGGTCGGAGCGCTACACACGTAAACATAGATCTATGTTTGGACAGTTTAAGGGTTAAAACCCGTGCCTTACACCCATATGACATTATTGGTATCATTATAATCTGGTACATTTCCCTCAAAACTCATAGAGGCCATTCAGCACCTGGGGAATGGGAGGTTATCAGGTTTGATCCAAGCAAGAGGAGAGTAATTCCAATTCTTTGGACCAAAAGTCTTTCAGTGACTTAAAGAAAATCAACCCCATCCCTTCCTTGAAAGGAGATGGATCAATAAATTTCTAATTCACTTTTCCATTTTTTTACAGGTATTCAAGGACGTCACGTGACCACTCATGGTTTAGCTCTAAACTGCAACGTAGACCTACAATGGTATGATCACATTGTGCCCTGTGGACTGGTTGATAAAGGTACAACAAGCATCAGCAAGGAACTAAGCAGGGATGTAACGGTAGATGAAGTCGAGCCTTACTTTCTGAAATCCTTCTCTGAGATATTTCAGTGTCAACTTATTATGATTGATAAAAAAATTGATGAAGGATGATTATAGGTATTGGTTAATTTTCATTATTATTGTACTGATAAACAGAAAAATTAATACCAAAAATTTACCATCAGGGCTTTTTAGAAACAATACGTACATATATTAATATTTTTTGATGAATATAGAAGTCTTTTTTAATTAATGCTAATTATAAAAAACTTATTGTGGTTAATGCAACACTGAATTATAGGAAGAAAAGTTTAATACTGTATGAATATTTTGCCTGTGCCCTCTGATAGAGCACACTACTACTACTTCAGATAATGGTAAAGGTGTGCTGGGTAGGTTATTTTTTAGTATGTGATATATTTAGAAACATAAAAGTTTCATTATGGGATTTTCATCCACATCAGAATTACAAAATATTCTTCCCAGTTTGTATGTATTTATTTTTTTTAAGAAAACACTTATACCATCCTAAGTTTGAAAGTAAAAAAAATGGAAGATATGGAATTATATTCTTTATGAGGAATAAGTCATAATACTGTGGCTGGAACAATTCACATATAACCTACACTTCGGAGTGGAAACTTGTAGCAACCTTTCAGTCTGTCCTGGACCATTGTTGAGTCAGAGTTGACTTGGTGGTAGTCCAGGACACACACAAACATCCTCACAAGTTTCCTCTCTTTAGTGCCGATTATTCATGAAAAAATTCCCTATCCTGGATAGAAAACAAAAATTCATAAATTTTACACATATACATGTACTTGGAGTGGTTGTGAAGATTGCTCAATTATATTTCAGTCAAAATAAGAGCAGTGTAGTATGTATATAATTCTAGTTTCCAAAAACTTTTGAAATAAATACTAAAATAACATTAGTCTTTAATTCTGTTTGCTATAAAAATGTACATACTCTTCTTGATATAATTTCCTATAATTACTTCCATTTGCTATAAAACTATAAACACTCATTTTTGTATGTATTGATATTATTATTATTATTATTATTATAAGAAACCATCTTAATATAACATCCCAGGCATTCATGAAAGGACTGAGGCCATCCTATAATGAAAGACACATGGAAAATTTCTGGGTTTTCTATTTGTCTGCTGGAAACTGAATAATCATGCATGGGTGGCTGTTGACCAGAGGATGCCACCACTGTTGTGCAACACTGCCTTCTCTGCACCTTGCTGGAGTTAATGCAACATGAGAGTGGTTCACATATTGCAAGGTTTGTTTTTTGCAACTTCTTGTTTTATTGATTTTTATTGCCCTTGTCTAGATAAACCATTAATTTCACTACCATATTCAGTAGTGTCTTAAATACAGCACAAACAACCGGCATTACGTCATTACATCACAAGTATAACAGCCACCTCTGTAATTATTTTGTGGGTCGATGATGAAATAACAGTGCATGTAGAGCTATAACAATGTGTGTATAGAGGTCAATGTAAAACAGGGCACAAGAAATCCCTAAAACAAGCCAAGACTTCCTATTACATTTTATAATCATTCGGTGCCTGAATAGGAGTGGGTGGAGCAATCAGATTTGATCTGAGGAAGGGAGTGGTAGCTCCATTTCCTTGGATCAGAACCCCTTGTCAACATAGTCCCCTCCCTCTCCCTTGAAGGGCCTTCCTAGTATGAAATTAAAGTGGATTGGGAAAGGAGAATTAGCTGTTCCTTTTCCTGTGGTTTTTATCTGTTTGATGTTTTTTTATTACCTGTTTTGTGGCTACAGATATGGAGCTGTACTCATGTGTCCTGTCTTCAGTATTTTTTTCACCCCTTTTTTTCAGTAACTGTATTAATACTTCCTCTTTAAATTCATTCTTTTAGTCTATCATTCTGTAAATAAAAAGATTTCTTGTATCCATTCAACTCCATTTTTTTCTAAATTTACAATTGTGCCTTCTTGTCCTATTGCAGGTACATACTAAGAAATCTTATTGATTTTTTTATATTTTATAAGTTTACTCAGTATATGGTTATCATGTCTCCTCTTTTCCTGTTATCAGCCAGCATAGACATCTTTAGTGATAACAGCCTCTCATTTTAACTCATTTTTCAGCTCTGGAAGTCTTTCTGTAGCTCTTCTTTGGACGTTTCCTTATCCACATTTCAGTTTTAGGTGTGGATACTACACATGTGCTCCATTTAACAATATTGGCCGGATATATATTTAAGGAGGGGTTTGGGATATTTGCTGTTTGGAGAGCATCTAAACTGTTGTATCTGTGTTCCTCCAGCAAGACAGTGATGGTGTGAATGATGGTGAAAGTGTTTTTCAGGTTGCCCTGCCTCAGAGAAAGATATTTTACAGTTTGGAAGTAGAGCATATGAATATCTGTTTAATTTATATAAACTTCCAATGAGATTTCTTTATTAACCACTAGATCCCTCTCTCTGTCACACAGTATTTTTTAATGTGGGCTGATTTCCATTAGATAACATTTATCTTTGGTACACTAATTGCTTTTTCCAATACTTGCAAATATGGGCACAATATGTTCAGTCTTGTCTTGCATATTAACCCTTTTGTAGTGAAATCCTAAAAATTTTGCAAAGTGACTAGCATAACTCTGCACATTCTTGTATAATCCTTAGTGATACCCTATCTGGCCCTCTTTTTTATGTATCTATAAGTAGTTGCTTCAATTCCTCTTCTTTCCTATAGCCTTCATTTTAGCCGTGTTTAGGATATACGGGTAATTTTCATTTTTTTTTTTTTTTTTTTTTTTTTTTTGTCAACAAGTTGACAGGCCATAACTTTAACTTTTTAATTCCTCTTTGTGGTGATATTTTAAAAAAGTTTTTTTTTTTTTTTTTTTTATCACTGGCCGATTCCCACCAAGGCAGGGTGGCCCGAAAAAGAAAAACTTTCACCATCATTCACTCCATCACTGTCTTGCCAGAAGGGTGCTTTACACTACAGTTTTTAAACTGCAACATTAACACCCCTCCTTCAGAGTGCAGGCACTGTACTTCCCATCTCCAGGACTCAAGTCCGGCCTGCCGGTTTCCCTGAACCCCTTCATAAATGTTACTTTGCTCACACTCCAACAGCACGTCAAGTATTAAAAACCATTTGTCTCCATTCACTCCTATCAAACACGCTCACGCATGCCTGCTGGAAGTCCAAGCCCCTCGAACACAAAACCTCCTTTACCCCCTCCCTCCAACCTTTCCTAGGCCGACCCCTACCCCGCCTTCCTTCCACTACAGACTGATACACTCTTGAAGTCACTGTTTCGCTCCATTCTCTCTACATGTCCGAACCACCTCAACAATGATTTATATTTGAAAAAAAAAAAATCAGAATAGAAATTTTATGGCATGTCAGTTTCGGTGAAAAATAATCCCCTGAAGGCAACAGCATTGTAAATGCTTTTGGTATTACATTTTACAATTTACTGATGCCAAATTATGATAAAAAAAAATTATAAGACTAAGACTGTGTACACTAGTTTCTGGTGTGCATCAAGGCATTTTAAAATTAAAATCCTGGAAATACAACCTCCTCACTTAGCAACGTACTCATTTACCAACAACTAGGACTTACAACGGGCTCTCTGACCACCATGCATACCTAAATAATGTATATTAGAGCTGATTTCCTCTATTCTGTTTAATACAACATACGGTACACTATGTATATTGTATACTGAAATGTTATAAATGGTGCAGAGGTGACATTAAAACAATATCAAAGATGGTTGACACAAACCCACTACCATTATAATATGCTCCTCACTTAGTGACGAATTCGTTCACTGACATGGTTTTTAGGAGCGGAACTCCGTTGTTAAGTGAGGAGAGGCTGTATATATTATGAACATGATGCATTAGAATTAGTATTGCAAAGCTGCATCTCCACAACAGTAGTGTCCTTCCACTGTTGAAGTTGTCAATGAAACAATGTATTAGCCAATGTGTACGGGTAATTGTTAATCTGAGTTACAGTGATCTTCATAAAAAAACAGAAATAATAAAGTTTTAAGTTTTTATTTGTTTTGTGTTGAGTACAAATAAATTTTTACAATGCTGAAGACAATTTTCAGGAAAAATCAAACTAAACATTGCTGTTAACAATTATATATTTTATATATACTAACATGAACATAAAATACATAAATCTTATATACTACCTTCAGATCATTGGAACATTCATGAAATATAAAAAAAAAATTTACTCTGCCTGTTTCAAGTAGCTATATAATATTTGAAATCACAATCTTGTTTATAGAATTTTCTATTTAAAAAGCTAAGCTACAAAGAAAAACTGCATAGTGATAAGCCGTACAATATCAAAATTATATTATTTATAATTCATGTAATCTTCACTGATTACTTTGGTGACTTAGGTGCGGACCTGGAAACGACCTGCTTTAGTGATATACTTGACACCCTTAAATGGTTTGTATTTCTCTCCATAGATATCCAAGCGGTTGACCTTCAGTCCTGACAAAGCTAGTTGTGTGATAGTGAATTGTACCTGCAAGATGGAATACTGCATTTAGACATTATAAAAGACAAAAACAATTTAAATTTTAAAATATTTATTTTGAATCCATATATCTTCAGGCTGCAATATTACAACTACATTAATTTGTGTTACTATGTGAGGAGGTAAGCCTAACTGAAGAAAATCTTACAGGTCAGTATCCACAGATGCAAAACTCCGGGACAAATATAAGAAATGTTAACTATGTATGCTGCCTGGGTGGTGTGCATGGACATAGAAAATTCACAGGGGTATCCATCCACGACTACCTCTTTTCTACCTCGTGGTGTGTTCAATTGTAATTTTATCCTTTTCTTCACTCAACTGCACAATTTTATCACTATTTTAAAAATATTATCCACACCAAATGTTAATTAAGGCCATGCTCGAACTGTTTAAGCTGTATGATCCTTGTGGGTTTAGCTCTTGGTTTTGATTATAAAAACAGAACTGTTTACACTGGCTATGATGGTTCCAGGCCACTTAAACTAAATTTGTAAGTACTCAACTACATAAAAGCTCAAACTTAAGTATAATACTTACATTTACAGTTGGATTACTCTCTGGTGGAGGAGAGCCACTTTGTACACTGATCTGTAAAAATAATAAAAGATAATTTAGACATTTGGAGGTAGTAGGTTGGTAGACAGCAGCCGCCCAGGGAGGTACTACCGTCCTGCCAAGTGAGTGTAAGGCAGAAGCCTGTAATTGTTTTACATAATGGTAGGATTGCTAGTCTCTCTTTTCTATCTCATAAACATACAAGATTTTAGGTACATCTTGCTGCTTACACTTAGGTTACACTACACATGCATGTACAAGCATATATATACACACCCCTCTGGGTTTTCTTCTATTTTCTTACTAAATCTTGTTCTTGTTTATTTCCTCTTATCTCCATGGGGAAGTGGAACAGAATTCTTCCTCTGTAAGCCATGTGTGTTGTAGGAGGCAACTAATATGCCGGGAGCAAGAGGCTAATAACCCCTTCTCCTATATACATTACTAAAGTTAGAGAGAGAAACTTTTTTCTTTTTGGGGCCACCCTGCCTCTGTGGGATGCGCAGTTGTTGAAAGAAAATTTTGAAATATTTTGTGTCACTTCTGAGGATAAAAAACGGGTTTGGCCAGGAATATTGAAAATTCATAGAAAAAATTTTTGGTATTTGACCCACTCATTGGGGCCCCATTTAATTTTATAAAAATTTTTAAAAAAATTGTGCTGTTTTTTGATCACATTGCTACGGGTAATCTCGGATAGGGGCCTCCTGAAACTATTAAAAAATATAGGAAGAAAATTTGCTAGAAAGTAGTAAAAGTTTGTAAGTTTACCTCCCTTTACATGTTCATGACCCAACTTTATTTTGATCCCTTCAATGCCTTAACTGGGGTGCTTATTTTGTTCCCTTTTCAAACATATAGCCCGCTTTTCACAGACCTATTGTGGATGTATCCCTTAAGCTACTGAAAAATCTTTTCCATGTAAACTGGTGGGTTTTAGGTTAGCACTTTCCCCAAATAAAAAATAACAAAAATTCATTGACGGATTGCTGATTATGCTTTTTCAAAAAAGCAAAAAAATTTCCAGGCTTCCATTACACTGACAGGATAATACCCCCTCCAGAAGGGTGCTGGCTATCAACCTTACCTATGCGTGAGTTGTTTAAAGTGAAGAAGGCTTTAAAATTTCTTTACTAAGCTAACTTTGGGAAAAAATATGCTGTAAGGAATGCCTTCCCCAAACCCTTTTCGCACTATGATTTCCAATCTTTTTCAGTATTTTAGATGCTGACAAAGTTTGGGAAAGGGAAAAATAATGACAAGGATGGGCGCAAAGACAGGACGAAAATTTTAAGGCCCCCTTGAAGGCTAATAATTTTTATTACTTACATTTCCAGCATGTTGGGGAATTGGTGGGTTTAAGCGTCCCGTTTCCCATCGCAGTCCTTCGAAACCGAGTCAAAGGGATATTGCCTTTTCGGGGCTGTCAAAATTTCAATTAAACACATTTTGGGATTGGCACTTCCAACACAACACCTTCAACCTAGAAGATAAAAAAAAAATCCTTAAAATATGCATTACTATATACAAAAATTCTTTTATGATTGACACTTTTCTTGCTAAATTGCAGTATTTACTTGAATATTTTATTGATATAATTTATGCACCCTGAATATTTCATAAAAAATTATAGTATTTACCACAAAAATATATCCTCTACAAAGTATCTGAATCCACTTAATAAATATCTGTGTAAGATAACGTAAGTTGGAAGATAAATACTATAAGCCAGCAGCCAAGGGTGAACCTGGAAATATTGAGTCGTGTTTTTTTTCTTTTTGCATATGTATTATCCTTAGTCCTAAATGCAGGCTCCCATGAATGCCAGCAAGGAGCATTTTACAGAATTTGCACCACTTGAAGGAGTTGCCTTGATGCCAGTGAGAGGCTCATAATAAAAGGAATTGAACCAATTCTCACTTTCCTGGAATCAAACCTGATAGTTTCCCATTCCCACAAATGTTCTATGACCCTTAGGGGTTTCATGATCCCCCAATGAATGTTTTTTTTTTTTTTTTAACAAGTCAGCCGTCTCCTACCGAGGCAGGGTGACCCAAAAAGAAAGAAAATCCCCAAAAAGAAAATACTTTCATCATCATTCAACTCTTTCACCACACTCACACATTATCACTGTTTTTGCAGAGGTGCTCAGAACACAACAGCTTAGAAGCATATACGTATAAAGATACACAACATATCCCTCCAAACCATCAATATCCCGAACCCCTCTTTTAGAGTGCAGGCATTGTACTTCCCATTTCCAAGACTCAAGTGAAGGGATTCCCTGAATCCCTTCACTAAATATTACCCTCCTCACACTCCAACAGATCGTCAGGTCCCAAATACCATTCGTCTCCATTCACTCCTATGGAACACCCTCACGCACGCCTGCTGGAAGTCCAAGCCCCTTGCCCACAAAACCCAATGAATGTACATTAGAATAATAATGCAAAATTCAGAGAAATTCAAGATGGCTGCCACAAAAATAGGTAAATCATTTTTGGCCATCACTTCTATTTCTAAACAACAAATAGACAAGTTTAGTGACTGTATTGAAGGTACATCATAAGTTCATAACAGCTAGTGTACCTAATGCATGATTATGGCTTCACAGTCACCTCCTATGAGTTCTTGGATTTTTAACATGTGTTGAGCTGACCACTACAAAGGGCTTCATCAAGCCCAAGGACTCTCAATAGATGGTGGTACTGTAATGGCTTGGTTTGATAATTATTTCCTTAATAGGTTCATACTTTCATACTAAATTTACCGAGATACTTGTGGCACTTACGTTTACCCAACACCCTGAAGAAATGACTGAAAATTACTTTGTACAGTTGATTATGATGAGTATGACGCCTGTCATAATATAATAAAAGAGGTTAAAAAAAAAAAGTCCCAAATTTGGAGGGATATGTTGTGTATCTTTATACGTATATGCTTCTAAACTGTTGTGTTCCGAGCACCTCTGCAAAAACAGTGATTATGTGTGAGTGTGGTGAAAGTGTTGAATGATGATGAAAGTATTTTATTTTTGGGGATTTTCTTTTTTTTTTTTTTTGGGGTCACCCTGCCTCAGTGGGAGACGGCCGACTTGTTAAAAAAAAAAAAATGCAACCATGTCTGTGGTACTAGAGCATTATAGTGATGCAGAGAAAGCAGACCTTACCCTCAGGTTTTGGATTATGTTGGGAACACAGCCATACAGCAATGTTTGTTATATGGCTGTGTTCCATTCCAAAAAATGCAGCTGTATAATCCTCCGGGTTTAGCGCTTCCCCCTTGATTGTAATAATAATCCAAAAAATGCAATGGGATAAGACAAGACATTATCATAAGTTTAAAAATAATTTACAGAAGGACTACTCTCATTCCACCCTTGAAGTTTTTTGGACTTGCATTAAAAGAAGGTAAACAGGATAAATGGATAGAGACAAATGCAGTATATGTGATCATTTTTTGACAATGCTTCACCTACACAGTGGACTTTATCAAGTCACAAACAGACCTACCTGGAGAGAGAGGATGTGTATATATCGGGAGTGTACTGTAGTGACATAGTCACTATACACATCCTCTCTCTTCCTAAGTTTATGACTTGATAAGGCCTATTGTGTGGGCAAAATGTTGTTGTTAAAGGATCACATTATACTTCATTTCTCTCTCTTTATCCATCATGTTAATGTTTTATACCTTCTGCCTCCAAAAGGACCAATGTAAAATGCAGTTATACCAATATAAAAGACAGGTGGTAGGAAAAATAGTCGTCTCTCTCACAACTGGGAGACAGAACATCAATCTTCCACAATTCCTTGAGAAGTATGACCCACACCAGTATAGCATTTCACATAAAGCAAAAAAAAATTTACCCAGAAAAATATTACAAGAACGACGTTTGATTTTACATACTGCTCGTCCCATTGTTTGCTTTGGTCCGACAGTGATGTCTAACCTTCCTCCACCCACATCTCGGAAAGATATGTTGTGTCGTATGTAAACTGGGATAGCAACAACTGACTGAGAGCCAATGTGATAGGACAAAAGTCGAGAGTTGCCATCGGGAGGGACGAAAGAGAGCACTCGCTCTGACTGTGGATAAATTTAAAAAATTAGCTATCAAAAGTAGCCTCCAGAAATCTATGACTCACATTTGTTTACAGCTTTAAGTAAATCTACAATATACCATATACAACTTCATTAGCATACAAAAGATTTTAAGAACTCCTAGTCTTGCAGCCTGGTCTGAGGTTTGTGCTCCCTAATAATTGCCTTATCAGCCAGGTTGCTGCCATTTCCAGTCAACAAACTGACATAGCTATCACAACCTGGTTGGAAAGGCACCTGGAGAATCTTTTAAAGTTAACAGTTAATACATTTAAAGCCTTGTAACTTTTATTTCAGCATTAATCTGTTACTGTATTTATGGCATTCTGTATTTTTAAATGGGTTTACCTTGTAGCTTTGTTTTAACTGGCATACTGAAGATAAACTACGGAAATGTACTAACTATAGTGTTCTTGATTCATAATATTTTTTCAACAGAAAATCCTATTACATATTATTATTGTTTTTGTTTTTGTCAGAAAGTGATATATCAGTCATGATTCTCAACTTCATGTGCAAATCACGGGCCAAAAAGAAAGCAAGAGCTTTTGCTTTCAAAGTAAAAACATGATAATAAATAAAAGCTCTTTGTATATTAAGGAATTCAAAATTATAAAGAGGTTACAGTAAGATGTTTGATATAATAAATATTGTGTAGGTACACACATTATATGCACAAATTACAGTGCTGCACAAATAATTTACACTGGCAATTTGTTTTTATCAGAAATCTAAATATATACAATAGTTACATATTAAACAACCTGTAATATGTATTTTTATACAAGCTTAGAAAAAATAAACTTACTTCCCATCGTTTTAGTCTCACACATGGATGGAATGAAACATCATCAAAGAGTCGTGGATTAATAAATGTTAGAGTAAGGTCTGGCATTCCAGATAACTTTATACAGCAATCAATCTGAAAAAAAAATAACATACAGTATTTGATAAACATACATAATAGTATTGCAACTTTTATTCGTCTTATCTAAATGTTGGTCATACAGATGCTGAAATTCTTTTCCAAAAAAGTGTTTACATACGTATTTTTGCACAGAAAAGTTCATGTACAAATCTACTATGCCACAAAGAGCATGGTGTTGCACTTAATCTTTGACAAAACATTTGCCTTCTCTACATTTGCTCATCCCATGAATACGTTTAACACTTGTTTCCTCTCTATAAACTATAGTCTAAAAAAAAAAAAAAAAAGCAAAAAATCTGTTAAAAGAGCCAGATCCATTTATTTTTCAATTAGCTGCAGCTAAATCTTTTATTATAAAGTGCAGGAACACAGACCATGTATGGATCCATTTATCTACATAAATGAATAAAATTCAACAGTGCAATATTTACATAACCCTGAATTTCAGCAGCAACTGTCGCCCCAGACTTATCAATGATGGCATCCACTTCCTCAGTGACGTCAAAGTACGCCTCATTGTTGGTGTACTTGACACCAGAGCGACGCCATGGCACATTACTCAGCTGTCCGGTTGGTAAAGTGCCACTTACACTGTAAAAAAAACAAAAAGTGTACTTTACAGAAATATTAAAAAAAAAAAAATTATAAGCCTCCAAGTTGTGACTGTGGAGGAAAAAGTAAGTGGCAGTCACAGATTATAAAGGCAATGACTAGTGAAGATTTACTATAAGCAACATTCTTGGGTACAGCTTATTCCCGTTCATTCTACCAGTCTCACTTTATACACCACCACTATCCAGTACCTATTATTATTATTATTATTACTACTCTTACTCTCTTCATGGAAACTGCTAAACTGGTGTATGTCATCTTGCTCTACATTGTAAGGGTGAAGTGAACAGTAGAGATGTGAATTTCAGTTATAAAATTGCACAAAGAACCTGCATTCAATGTTGCAATGTAATAGATAAGGATAGATTAATTATGCCAGAGCAGTGGAGGAGGTCAAAAATGAAGATGGTGTACTCTGATAAAAGACAAATCCAAATTATTATTATGATAGTGAGGGGAAGCACTAAATCCATAGGAGTTATACAGCCACTAGGAAATGGGAAGCAACTCAATTTGATCCAAGGAGAGGAAGAACACATCCAGTTTCTTCGATCAAGAACCCCTCCCCAGCATCAAGGCACCTCCCTAGAGGGAAATCAAATCAAGAGATAATGAACTGTCAGCATGACTTCAGTTCTCAGGTCTTCAACCTTCCATGAAATAATCATATTGAGACATGACCAATACACAGGTGGGAGAGAACCATGAAGCCCTGACCAGAAACCCGATAGGATTTATTAAAAACAACATCCTAACTACTGCAGACTAATAATGCTGCCAGTGATCTGGCAAGTACTGAAATGATACTGTAAAAGAAAAAAAAATGGCAGCAGTGCATTTTGCAGAGGAATTCACAATTTCATGCTCTAAGCTCAAGAATGCCAAGAACCCAACAAAGTACAACCCTTTTGTGTTTGTTGTAAATATGACAAAGCCAGAGTTGAATGTGAAGGTCTTTGAGATACAAGGAATAAAAAATTTGAAACTACAACATAATATGAGGCATAAGAGGTAGAAATTTGGATACAAGCAGTAAGAAGAAAGTATTGTATAGTACTACTCTAATTCAAAAAATATGAGAAGACTGCAGCAGTCATTCTTGAAAAAGAATCCTCATATCACTCAGGAATGCATATACAGCAGTTTCATCACAGTATGATGAAGGTGTTTCAAGGTTGAAAAGACAAATGAAACAAGGTGCCTTTCAGAAAACGCATTTCAAATGTACATACTGCATAAAGACGAGTTCGTGTCAAGGATTTACAATGGGAAAGCCCCAACTATGCCAAAGCTGATGGTAAACAATTTCAGGTCTCCAAACCCCACACGCTTCTTGTTAACCATACAGTCAACCAATTTACAATTAGAACTGATAAGAGCTATAGGTTCAGTGGGATATGGCCGGTTTGTTGAAAGAAGAAGAGCTATAGGTCAACAATGGGACCAGTTGAGCTCAAACATACCATTTCCAAAAGATGATTACAGGAGTTTTCCGCTAAAGGGTAATATACCTTCAGCTGTCGCTGGCTAAAATCGTGAGAATGCCAATGCAAGTACTGTACAAGGAGTGTAAAACGTATGTCAGGAGACAAATGCGACTTCACACAGTTTTTGTCATGTCAACAGTATTGGCCATTTTGACACTAACACTGTCAAGGACAGTAGCTAGTCAGGAAAGTATTTGTCTGTTGATTATCACACCTTCAGGTAATATCAAAAGATCACTGCAAAGCAAGATAAAAATTACAGATGTTGATGTTGACAAGGAGCAAGGGGCATATCAAGAGGGAGTGGACAGAAGCAGTAGAAGTTGCAATGTTCACTGTTTTGCAGCTCCATTTCCAGATGTTTGGAGGCAGGAGACTGCCAATGTTTTTGAAAGGGATGTTGGGGCAGTCTTCTCCATAAAATCATTTGTGCTTTTAAGTCATCCTAGGAAAGGATGGAGGGAGGGTGTAAAAGAGGTTTTGTGTGGAAGGGGCTTGGATATACAGCAGGAATGTGCGACTATGTTTAGATAGGAGTGAATGGAGACGAATGGATTTTGGGACTTGATGAGCTGTTGGAGTGTGAGCAGGGTAATATTTTGTGAAGGGATTCTGGGAAACTGGCTAGCCAGACTTGAGTCCTGGAGATGGGAAGTACAATGCCTGCACTTTAAAGGAGGGGTTTGGGACATTTGCTGTTTGGAGTGACATCCAAACTGTCCTAGCTGAGTGCCTCTGCAAAGATAGTGATTGTGTGTGAATGATGACGAAAGTTTTTTGGGTCACCTTGCCTCGTGAGAGATGGCCGAAGTGTTAAAAAAAAAATTGGAGAAATTACAGACCACATTTGGAACAAGGGATGGCTGAGAAACCACATCCAATCATCCATATTTGTCTAATTTTGTTTTATCTCAAACCTCTGTAACTTACTTCTTTCTAAAGGATCCCAGTCTTATTAACTTGCTTCCCATCTAGATTATTTCTCTATTACCTCTATCCTTTATGCATCATTTTAGATTCAATTTAAAAAAAGTCAGTGCTAGTAATAGTCCTTATTTTTACTATGATATTTTACAAGAATCTTATTAATGCAAAACAAAACAGGTTAAGTGCTGTATAAGCACAAACAGTACTACAATCCATTCTAAAGTGCAACTTTAATGATGATTCTTCACAATACATCGTGGGCAAAAGAATAAAAGAAAGTGCAAGAGCTCTATTGCAATACAGTAAAATAATGATGATACATAACTACTGTTTGAATATTGTGGAGATCAAAATTACAAAGAGGTCATCAGAAAATATTGCTTATGTACAACAACATTCTGTTTACTGTATCTATTAAGGAGCTCGAGTTAATTATATGCGCAAACTACAAGTCATTTAGAGCAATTCTCTTATATTAGTGTTCTCTAGCACCTACTCTTAAGTCTCTCACACTACCAGGTTCTAAATCAAGGAAAACTTACCGATATTCTCTGAGATTTAAAAAATAACAATGAACAATTAGATAAAGGTTCTTATAATTTGTGATAAAGACAAATATATTGATAAATGCTTTGGAATAATGAAAATACCTTTCAATAATTTTACAGGTAAGAAAAAGAAACCAGCATTAACAAAAATAATTAACATAAAAGAAAAAAAATGATTCAGCATTTTTTTTAAAAATTAGAATTTGGGAAAAAATTTGAAATACAGTATAGTAATACTGTATCAAATCAGACAATATCTCTTAAAGATTTTTGGACAGAAAGAATATTTTCTTAAATTTTTTATTTAGAATTTTTTCAAAATGTCTTAACTCTAATATTTTTCTAAAAAAAAGGAATTTTTCAAATACTGTACCTGTAGGGGTAAAAAATATGTACTATTTCTAATTTAGATTGTTTCCAGAACAAGAGAGAAATTTTTCACATTCACGAGTAGAAATGTGTACAATTCAAACACCCAGGCACCAAGTCTGAATAATAAGGGAATCACTATATATACATTTAAATACAACCTCTCCTCACTCAGTGACGTACTCGTTTACCGGTGACTCGGACTTACGACGGAATCTCTAACTAGTATGCATACCTAAATAACGTATATTAGAGCTGATTTCCTCTATTCTGTTTATTACAATATACAGTACACTACTGTATAAACAATTAAAAATATATCAGAAATGTTATAAATGATGCCAAGGTGACATTAAAACAATATCAAAGATGGTTGACACAAATCCACTACAATTATAGTATATTCCTCACTTAGCGACAAATTCGTTTACCGACATGACCTTAGGAATGGAACTCAGTCATTAAGTGAGGAGAGGCTGTATATATATCTTTATCAGGGATATTATTTTTTTCACTTTCAAGCCTAATAAAAACATTAAAGATAATGTGTGTTTATGTTACATACATCACACAACAGTAACCCTACCTTATCTAAACAAGATGTGAATGTTAAGTTTAATTAGTACAGAGGTGAAATTAACTCTCAAAATCTTTAAATAATACATTAATATAATGAGAGAATATTTTTTTTACAAAACAAAATAATACTAACTTTGACTTGCCAGTAACAGTATTGGCAATGGTGCGCAAGATGTTTGGAGGCTTAATGAGCTCCTTCAAGATATTGCTCTCTGTTGCCAGTGGAAATCCATTGTCCAGCATCTCATCCAACAGCTGCCATGCAATAAAATAAATTCATACTCTAAAAAGGAAAGCCTCCAACTACAATTCCCATTTATCAGTTGCATTATTTTTAAAGAATCAGCTTAAGAGAGCTTTCAGTCAGGTTCCAGAACTTTGTGCCATGTTGCCTCTGTCTTATTTCCCATTTTTGTAGGGTGTGGAGATATCATCAGGCATGGAAACACAAGGACCCTAATGAAAATAAGTCTCTTTGACTTTTTTCGGTTATCCTCAGTAATCTGCATATATGCTGCTATGTATGATAATTTATGTAACTGTAATTTATGTGTACCTGTACCTGAATGAACTTAATTATGGAGGCATTGTTGGGAACTAGCTTTCTGCTGTCAGTCAAGATAGCAGAAAGCTACCTCTGATGTATGAAGGGTTTTGGGGACTCCCTTTCTGGCCCCAATAACCTGACAGTAGCCATGACTACAGTTTGCCCCTGGAGGTGCAAGATGATACACCAAGATGGTATAAAATCACCATTGTTTGTCTTGACTGGCCACACCTGCCTACCCAAGAGTACTTCATGGAATGTGAGCATAACTCCTGCTACAGTGAGTGTATAGTCACTCTGCATGTAGTTGCCCACAATTATTAGATAAAATATTAAATTTCATAATATTCACAACATTTGTTGATTGCAGTTTAACACTACAAAGATGCAAAACAAGGCTAGGAATTAATAAGAGGTAAGCATTAAGAGTACCGATACTTACCTCATAAACCACAACATAATGCTCCTTAATAATAGACTCAGTACACTCTCCAAAGTAATCTTCAAAAGTGTCAACTACACGATGAAGGAATTCAATCACGAACAGAGGTGGAACTGCAATGATAAATATAAAATACAGTACAGTAAATATAAAGTACAGTACTGTATTTACAAAGAATATTAACATAATAAGGGTTACATAGATGGGATACTCTTGAGTAATCCAGTTTCTAGAATTATTATTCTTCTTTCAGCAAATTTCCCAATAAATGTTGTAAGGCTTTTGGATTTTAAAATAAGATAGTGATTGTTTGCAAATTAAAATGTCCAGTGAGGAATCTACTGTCCTTCAAGTCTAGGGAATTAGGTAAGACACATATGCAACAGTTAGGTATCTATATTTCGAAATAAAGATACCTAACCTGGAGTTTACCTGGAGAGAGTTCCAGGGGTCAATGCCCCCGTGGCCCGGTCTGTGACCAGGCTTCCTGGTGGATCAGAGCCTGATCAACCAGGCTGTTACTGCTGGCTGCACGCAATCCAACGTACAAGCCACAGCCCGGCTGGTCAGGTACCGACTTTAGGTGCTTGTCCGGTGCCAGCTTGAAGACTGTCAGAGGTCTATTGGTAATCCCCCTTATGTATGCTGGGAGGCAGTTGAACAGTCTCGGGCCCCTGATACTTATTGTATTGTCTCTTAACGTGCTAGTGACACCTCTGCTTTTCATTGGGGGGATGTTGCATCGTCTGCCAAGTCTTTTGCTTTCGTTGTGAGTGATTTTCGTGTGCAAGTTCGGTACTAGTCCCTCTAGGATTTTCCAGGTGTATATAATCATGTATCTCTCCTGCCTGCGTTCCAGGGAGTACAGGTTCAGGAACTTTAAGCGCTCCCAGTAACTGAGGTGTTTTATCTCCGTTATGCGCGCCATGAAGGTTCTCTGTACATTTTCTAGGTCAGCAATTTCACCTGCCTTGAAAGGTGCTGTTAGTGTGCAGCATATATGTCTTACCTAACAACCTGTCAGTATTGTATACCATTTTAACGTTCAAGTCCAGGGAAGAAATCATCTGTCACAGATGCAGAAAGCTGCCTCACCTTCAGTCATGCAGACAGCAATGAAGAAGAGATTACTTCTCAAGACACTGATAAGGTAGTGATGCGGTGTGGTGATGACCGGCGGAATGTCTTCATTGTTATTAGCCTTTCTCTGGGCGTCGAAGAAATAATCACAGATAGAGCGAGGAATGACACTTTTCCAGTGTTTCTCCATAAACACATCCCTGAAACACATCCAATAATATAATCACAAATTTGTACACATCTATTTAGCATATGTATCAACTATTAGATATGTAATTAATTAGTTTAATAAATTTAACATATTTATTTATTTATTTATTTGAACATGATACAGAGATGTACAAGGAATACAATTTTTAAAGTGCAACATGCCAAAGCCCCTTGTATGTAGAGCATTATGGGCAGGATTAAAATTAACTTAAGATTAACTAAGCAATGATATATTCAGTGGTACAAAAATTATTGTAAAACAGATAACAATTTAGTACAAATGAGTATTACAAAGACAGGTCATATGGTCATTTACTGTGTTGCTGTGTAATCAGTAGAATGGAGTATTATGTTAGGTAATGAAGTTAAATAGTAACAAAGTTTGATTGGGTCACAGGTTGACATTTATGAGATACAATAATGAGATACATATATGAGATACAATTTATGAGATGCAATTATTCAATTCTATTTAACACCGTAACAGATACATACACGATAAAGTTGATCACAATATCACACCAAACTATACGTTCTAAATATTACATAAACAATAAAAAAGTGTCATAGTTATCAAATACAAAATTCTGACATTTTCATTCTCTCTCAAAATAAAAATTTAATATAATTACGCACGTTTTCCCATTCCCTAAGAAATGTATATTTAATAAATATATTAATAACAATAATGTAATTATCATTAAAATTAAAAAGAAGCGCTAAACCTACAAGGGTCAACTGTACAATATAATAATAATAATTAATAATAATGCTAGAGAATTCAGTTTTTCCTTAGGCCTCATATATATGAAACTTTCACAGTGGTTTTATATAGTATATTATGCAGAATATAATACAGGATAATTCAATAAGTGAAACAATATGACTCATTATCATCAGGTTCAGTCTGTATTTTAAACTCTACATGAACAATATATTCAACTTCTCTTACCCAGACGAGTTAATTATAAATAGGCTGTGAATCATGGCTAGCTCACCCTCCAGAAACACTGTGGCTGGGAAAAATAAAGCGAAAATAAGACAATCAGAGAGAAAACTACCACCTGTGACAGCCACAGTGTTGACACTGTGTCTGATTCTCTCTCACTGTCTCTGGCTTCCTCTTAGTAATTTCTTATTATTATCCACTTTCCATATATTTCCAAACTAATATGTAATATTGCAAGAACTATTTTTTTTATTAATGCAAACTGGTACTAAAAACTATGTGTCTTTTGAAAACAGATATAATGAAATGTACGCAGACTAAATTTTCGATAAATCTTACCATAAGATCAGGTTAAATCTTTAATAATAATAATATAATATATTTATTTCTATAAGTACATGTACAAGGTATGCAGACCATAGCTGACATCAATGATATACTGTTATATAGAAAGCTGCTTGTTATGCAGAGTATTTCCCGCAAATTAGGTTAATTTTGTCCCAGGATGCGACCCACACCAGTCCACTAACACCCAGGTACCTATTTTACTGGTGGGTGAACATGGACAGCAGGTGTAACGAAACATGCCCAATGTTTCTACCCTCGCAGGGAATCGAACCCTGACTTCACTTGAGCCACCAGGCCACGGGCCATACTATTTCGAGTTCCTGGCTATGCAGAACATGTATAAAATTATTGCTGCTATTCATATTATTGTTTGCAGCTGTTGTTGTTATTATCAACGTATTGAATGTGCCATTTGCAAAGACATAAGTAAACAAATAAATAAATAAATAAATGGTCCAGGTGGAGTGACTGTCTCACTGTCTTGAGCATCACTTACAAATTTTTCATGTCGCTTTGTCTGACATTTTTGTGCTATCCTAGATAATTTACACTTATGTTACTATGTAAGACAATTGTTATCATCCAGAAACTGCTTAGAATGGTACCTAAATGAACTTATTATCGTCGTGCTCTCTGAACAATTGGTTTCGGCGACATGCTATATCAACTTGTAGGCCTCAAAATAGCTGTTGCTGTTGACTCAGATGGAATTGGGTTTGTGTGTGCTAATACAATATATTTTTTATTTCTTTACAAAGGTTGCAAAGCGTAATTTACATTTCAAATGTTGTTAAGTACAAAGAAAGTTACTAAATACCCTACCTGAGAACTCTAGAACTGCAGACACATTCATCACCTTCAAAACTACCATTAGAAAACATCTTATCTCCCTGATACACCCCGTCAACTAACTACACGAATACCACCTGGTGGTTCACACTTACACTCACTCACCCATTTGACCATAAACAGAAATATTAATCTCAGTCTTAAAATAATGAATCCTGTGACACTCCAATACTGAAACTATATACTGTGCCAAAACAAAAGCATTCACATTGCTAAACTCACAAAATAGTATTTAGTCACTTAGCCATAATACCAACTTACCTCATAATTTGTAATATTTTACATTTAAGAATAAAACTAAGTATGCCCGAAATGCCTAGCCATGCTAAGCGTTCTAGTGGTACACTCTGTAATCTCAATTTTACTACATGTAAACCAAACAATAACCAAATTTCTGTAAACTCAGCATTGTAATCCTTATAGAGAATAAACATGCCTGAGCATATCTGGCAGACTTATCCTAATTCTTTCTTATTTGTGTTTATGTCTGGTTTGTCCTGGGTTAAGGCAAGGAGGTCTATTTATTTATTTATTTATTTATGTCTTTGCAAACAGTACATTGAGATTTTGTTTTCTTTATAATTTCGTTTTAAATTTTGGCCAACATTTAGCCTGGTGGCTAAAGCTCTCGCTTCACACGGCGAGAGTCGGGGTTCGATTCCCAGCGAGGGTGCCACATTGAGTGTACTCACCTATTTGTGGTTGCAGGGGTCGAGTCTTGTGTGTTTCTTTACACCGGTTGTCTGTGTTCACCCATCGGTAAAATGGGTACCTGGATGTTAGTGGACTGGTGTGGGTGGCATCCTGGGACAAAACTGACCTAATTTACGGGAAATGCTCTGTATAACAAGGGAATTTCTATATAGTAGTATGTCATTGATGTCAGCTATGGTCTGTATAAGTTGTATCATGTATTTGTAAAAAATAAAGATATTATTATTATTATTATTATTATTATTATTATTATTATTATTATTATTATTATTATTATTATTATTATTATTATTATTATTATTATTAATAATATTAATATTATTATTAAAGGAGGTAGAGCTAAATAAGGTGTAAGCTTTAGTGGACCTTAACAACTGAACAACAACAACGAGAATTTTTTTCAACAAAAATAGTGATAGTAATGAAGTGAAATAGTGATAGTAATGAAGTGAAGTAGTGATAGTAATGAAGTGAAGTAGTGATAGTAATGAAGTGAAGTAGTGATAGTAATGAAGTGAAGTAGTGATAGTAATGAGGTTAAGGTATCAGTAGCAGCCCATGAGACAGCTCATAACTCTCTCTTAACTCTGTCATGGACCACCATTAATACCTTCTACCTTGACTCTCAGAATTTTCCCTACTATCTGTTGCTGTCTTCCAACATTGTGTAGTCCCAGTGGGGCTTGTTGAAAATATTATATACGTATATATGTATGTATGTATATATATATATATATATATATATATATATTTTTTTTTTTTTTTTTTTTTTTCAACAAGTCGGCCGTCTCCCACCGAGGCAGGGTGACCCAAAAAAAAGAAAGAAAATCCCCAAAAAGAAAATACTTTCATCATCATTCAACACTTTCACCACACTCGCACATTATCACTGTTTTTGCAGAGGTGCTCAGAATACAACAGTCTAGAAGCATAAACATATAAAGATACACAACATATCCCTCCAAACTGCCAATATCCCAAACCCCTCCTTTAAAGTGCAGGCATTGTACTTCCCATTTCCAGGACTCAAGTCCGACTATATGAAAAATAACCGGTTTCCCTGAATCCCTTCACTAAATATTACCCTGCTCACACTCCAACAGATCGTCAGGTCCCAAGTACCATTCGTCTCCATTCACTCCTATCTAACACGCTCACGCACGCTTGCTGGAAGTCCAAGCCCCTTACCCACAAAACCTCCTTTACCCCCTCTCTCCAACCCTTTCGAGGACGACCCCTACCCCGCCTTCCTTCCCCTATAGATTTATATGCTTTCCATGTCATTCTACTGTGATCCATTCTCTCTAAATGACCAAACCACCTCAACAACCCCTCTTCTGCCCTCTGACTAATACTTTTATTAACTCCACACCTTCTCCTAATTTCCACACTCCGAATTTTCTGCATAATATTTACACCACACATTGCCCTTAAACAGGACATCTCCGCTGCCTCCAACCGTCTCCTCGCTGCTGCATTTACCACCCAAGCTTCACACCCATATAAGAGTGTTGGTACTACTATACTTTCATACATTCCCTTCTTTGCCTCCATAGATAACGTTTTTTGACTCCACATATACCTCAACGCACCACTCACCTTTTTTCCCTCATCAATTCTATGATTAACCTCATCCTTCATAAATCCATCCGCCGACACGTCAACTCCCAAGTATCTGAAAACATTCACTTCTTCCATACTCCTCCTCCCCAATTTGATATCCAATTTTTCTTTATCTAAATCATTTGACACCCTCATCACCTTACTCTTTTCTATGTTCACTTTCAACTTTCTACCTTTACACACATTCCCAAACTCATCCACTAACCTTTGCAATTTTTCTTTAGAATCTCCCATAAGCACAGTATCATCAGCAAAAAGTAACTGTGTCAATTCCCATTTTGAATTTGATTCCCCATAATTTAATCCCACCCCTCTCCCAAACACCCTAGCATTTACTTCCTTTACAACCCCATCTATAAATATATTAAACAACCATGGTGACATTACACATCCCTGTCTAAGACCTACTTTTACCGGGAAGTAGTCTCCCTCTCTTCTACACACCCTAACCTGAGCCTCACTATCCTCATAAAAACTCTTTACAGCATTTAATAACTTACCACCTATTCCATATACTTGCAACATCTGCCACATTGCTCCTCTATCCACTCTATCATATGCCTTTTCTAAATCCATAAATGCAATAAAAACTTCCCTATCTTTATCTAAATACTGTTCACATATATGCTTCAATGTAAACACCTGATCTACACATCCCCTACCCACTCTAAAACCTCCTTGCTCATCCGCAATCCTACATTCTGTCTTACCTCTAATTCTTTCAATTATAACCCTACCGTACACTTTTCCTGGTATACTCAGTAAGCTTATTCCTCTATAATTTTTACAGTCTCTTTTGTCCCCTTTCCCTTTATATAAAGGGACTATACATGCTCTCTGCCAATCCCTAGGTACCTTCCCCTCTTTCATACATTTATTAAACAAAAGTACCAACCACTCCAACACTATATCCCCCCCTGCTTTTAACATTTCTGTCATGATCCCATCAGTTCCAGCTGCTTTACCCCCTTTCATTTTACGTAATGCCTCACGTACCTCCCCCACACTTACATTCTGCTCTTCTTCACTCCTAAAAGATGGTATACCTCCCTGACCAGTGCATGAAATTACTGCCTCTGTTTCTTCCTTAACATTTAAAAGTTCCTCAAAATATTCTCGCCATCTTCCCAATACCTCCATCTCTCCATCTACTAACTCCCCTACTCTGTTTTTAACTGACAAATCCATATTTTCCCTAGGCTTTCTTAACTTGTTTAACTCACTCCAAAATTTTTTCTTATTTTCATTAAAATTTCTTGACAGTGCCTCTCCCACTCTATCATCTGCTCTCCTTTTGCACTCTCTCACCACTCTCTTTACCTTTCTTTTACTCTCCATATACTCTGCTCTTCTTATATAATATATATATATATATATATATATATATATATATATATATATATATATATATATATATATATATATATATATATAGAGAGAGAGAGAGAGAGAGAGAGATATATAGAGAGAGATAGATAGAGAGAGAGATATAGAGAGAGATAGATAGAGAGAGAGAGAGAGAGATAAAGAGAGACAGATAGAGAGAGAGAGAGAGAAAGCGAGCACAATGGTGGGGACAAGTTTGAGCATGATAAAAGTACAGTGGACCCCCGGTTAATGATATTTTTTCATTCCAGAAGTATGTTCAGGTGCCAGTACTGACTGAATTTGTTCCCATAAGGAATATTGTGAAGTAGATTAGTCCATTTCAGACCCCAAACATACATGTACAAATGCACTTACATAAATACACTTACATAATTGGTTGCATTGGGAGGCGATCGTTAAACGGGGGTCCACTGTACTGTAATATTATTTTTATTATTAGTAGTAGTAGTAGTATTAGCAGTAGAATTATATTATTTAGGTTAATTATATATGATTTTATAGATAATAGTGAACATTTATACAGTGATAGCATTGAGCATATAATAGTTGTATTGACTCACGAAATCGTAATGACACGATTGCAAACAAACCATGCACTTATTTAACTTAGGATAACCCAACAGTGTCAAGCAGCATGATTTCAATTGGGTTCCTTGTGAAATGAATTTTGTTTGGTGTATGATTTTCTACTGAAATTGCATCTTTAGTGACACTTCCTTCACCCATTCTAAATACAGATAAGAAGATATGAATGTTGTATTTATTACTACTGTATTTGTATGCTAATATATTCTCTCTTTATAATGCAATTTGCTCTCTGCAGAGAAAAATGAATCGTGGGAAGATATCTTTCGGGAAGATTGGCTTTAGCCTAGGGAGTACGAAGGCTCTAGGTGAACCATTGACACTGACCACAGCTGAGAGTGTCAAAGAACAGACAGCTTTGACTGGGTTTGGGTCTTTTGGAAAAATCCATCCAGAGAAGAATGCCAAACCTGATAATGAAAAAAATGAAGGTAAAGAAATAAAATATAGCTAGCATTGTTTATATTATAATTTACAAACTTTGAAGAGAATTATCATTAGCAGGAAGTTTTCCTGCAATACATATATAGTGGTACCAACATGTATGAGGCATCGGTTATAAATGCTGTAGTGAGGAGGCTGGAGGCAATGGAGATGGTGTGTTTGAAAAGAATATTTGGTGTGAATATTATGCAGTCTCATTTTTACCAAGGGTATAATTAAGATAACTGAGAAGGTGGTTTGGGCATGTAGAGAGGATGGAGAGGGATAGATTGATGATGAGAGTGTATAAATATGAGGTGAAAAGTAGGAAGGGTAGGGATCATCCCAGGAACAGTTAGAGGGAGGGGACTCAACCTCTACACCCATGAATAGGTGATTACAAATACTAGGCAAATACAAACACATGGTTGTCTTCAAGAAGACACTGGACAGGCACCTAAAGTCAGTACCTGACCAGCTGGGCTGTGGTTTGTGTGTCGGGTTGCATGCAGCCAACAGTAACAGCCTGGTTGATCAGGCTCTGATCCACCATGAGGCCTGGTCACAGGGTGTTGACCCCCAAAACCATCTCCAGGTGTACTCTCCAGGTATACAGCCTCTCCACACTTAACGACAGACTTCCGTTCCTAAGACCACATCAGTAAATGAATTCATCGCTAAGTGAGGAGCACACTATAATGGTAGTGGGTTTGTGTCAACCATCTATGATACTGTTTTAATGTCACCTTTGCACCATTTGTACCATTTATGATATATTTTTAAGTGTTTATACAGTAGTGTACAGTACTGTATATTGCAATAAACAGAATAGAGGAACTCAGCTCTAATATACATGTACATTATTTAAGTATGCATACTGGTCAGAGAGCCCATCGTAAGTACGAGTCGTTGCTAAACGAGTGTGTCGTTAAGTGAGAAGAGTCTGTATAAGCATCAGTATATATTCTTATAAAATGTTCTTGGCTGGCATCTCTTAACATATATTAAGCTCTTGTTATGCATACCATGTGATAATCTCTGCTATGCATAGACAATCCCTACACTTTTTTTGCGGTAGATATCTTTGTGTGCAGTCAGATACAAATTATAGGCTTTTTTATGATGCTGGCTTCAGTGTCATTCGGACCGTAATATATCCGAGCATTAGGACTGACAGCTACAAGTAGATAATTAGTGATGGTGAATGTGTTTCCTTTTTGGGGGTCACCCTGCCATTGTGGAAAACAGCTGATGTTTATACAGTAATATGTTCTGTATTAGTGGCAATGTAGAGTAATTCATCACTCATTTCTTCTCAGCTGAAATGGCGACTACCATGGGATTCTCTGGCTTTGGGAAGAAAGCAAGGGAGATTGATATCGAGAAGCTTGTAGAGGAGACGCGTAAATCTGCCATTGACAGAAATAGAGAGAATATTGGTAAGATATCTCTTGGGATTTTTTATGAATTACTAAATCCAATGTTTTAAATTTCTTTTCAGATACAGTGTTTAATAGCATCACTTAACAGTAGTTACATTTGAAGGATGCTATAGCAAAAGTGGCAACTGACTTTTATGTAGTTACTGTATATATTTGCTTTATATTTTTTGTGATTATTTGGGTTTTGCTAAGCTAAATCTACATACATGTAATTTACCACTTGTATGCCTAAAACATCTATGTTCCTTCAGAACCTGTGGAAAAATTTTTTCTATGATCTGTAAAATATTTATAAGTTTTTCTTGAACAAAAAGTCTGTTTGTTGTTGTTATTGTAGTCTTGTGTATTTAGTTTATTATAAAATTTTACAAATTTTCAGAAGTTGTATTATATTCTACCTCTTCCTGGATCAGATTTCATCCTTTAACACTGACCATCTCCCACCAAGGTAGGGGTGACCCCCCCAAAGGAGGGGGGGAACACTTACCACCACCCACTCAATAACTTTCTTGCAACATCCCCACCTCTCCTTCAGAGTGCATGCACTGTACCTCCCATCTCCAGAACTCAAATTCTGGCCAACTAATTTCCCTGAATCCTTTTCACAAATGTTACCTTGCTCTTGTACCTTCCCACTCTGGCCTTCATAGATAAACTTCTTTCTGCCCACAGATGCCATAACACACCACCTACCTTTACTCCCCTTTCCCTTGTCTGTGGTTCACCTTGTCTTTCATTTGTTTGCTCCCAGATATCTAAACATTGTAGATTTACTTCCTCCATACAGCCTCCTTCCAGTCTGATATCCAATACACAAATAGCCCGCACATAGGAGAGAGGAGCTTACAGCGACGTTTCAGTCTGTCTTGAACCATTTACAAAGTCACTTTGTGAATGTGACTTTGTAAATGGTTCAAGTCGAGCTGAAATGTCATCATAAGCTCCTCTCTCCTATGTGCGGGTTATTTGTGTATTGTTCCAGTCACAGTATTGTGCCTTATTGCTATTTACTGATATCCAATCTTTTATTCCTTATATGTACTTTGTTTACTTTCATCACCTTGAACATCAAAATGGTATACAATACCGACAGGTTGGTAGGTAAGACACATAGACAACAGTTAGGCAACTTTATTCAGAAACGTTTCGCCTACACAGTAGGCTTCTTCAGTCGAATACAGAAAGTAGGCAGGAACAGTAGAGATGTGAAGACAATGTAATCAGTCCATCATCCTTGAAGTCGTAGAATTTGAGGTTGTCAGTCCCTCAGCCTGGGACATCTCTACTGTTCCTGCCTACTTTCTGTATTCGACTGAAGAAGCATACTGTGTAGGCGAAACGTTTCGGAATAAAGTTGCCTAACTGTTGTCTGTGTGTCTTACCTTTCATCACCTTGCTTTTTATGTGTTCACTTTTAATCTTTTACATACCCTCCCAAATTTATACACCAACCTTTTGCAACTTTTCTTTGGAATCTACCAAAAAATGCATTGTCAGCAGAGAGCAACTGTGGCCCCATTTAGTATCACATTCATTATCTTTTAATCCCACATCTTTTACAACCACATCTACAAACATATTAAACCACCATGGTGACTTCACACCTCTCTGCCCAAGGACTACTTTTTCCGGAAAATAGTCCTCTTGTACATATCTTAACAGGAGCATCACTCTGCATAATTTTTTTTTTTTTGTTTTTTACTGATAATGGGAGCCCTTTGATTGAACTTTGTATAGAAAGGGGTTTAGTTATAGGTAATACATATTTTAAGAAAAAGAGGATAAATAAGTATACACGATATGATGTAGGGCGAAATGACAGTAGTTTGTTGGATTATGTATTGGTAGATAAAAGACTGTTGAGTAGACTTCAGGATGTACATGTTTATAGAGGGGCCACAGATATATCAGATCACTTTCTAGTTGTAGCTACACTGAGAGTAAAAGGTAGATGGGATACAAGGAGAATAGAAGCATCAGGGAAGAGAGAGGTGAAGGTTTATAAACTAAAAGAGGAGGCAGTTAGGGTAAGATATAAACAGCTATTGGAGGATAGATGGGCTAATGAGAGCATAGGCAATGGGGTCGAAGAGGTATGGGGTAGGTTTAAAAATGTAGTGTTAGAGTGTTCAGCAGAAGTTTGTGGTTACAGGAAAGTGGGTGCAGGAGGGAAGAGGAGCGATTGGTGGAATGATGATGTAAAGAGAGTAGTAAGGGAGAAAAAGTTAGCATATGAGAAGTTTTTACAAAGTAGAAGTGATGCAAGGAGGGAAGAGTATATGGAGAAAAAGAGAGAAGTTAAGAGAGTGGTGAAGCAATGTAAAAAGAGAGCAAATGAGAGAGTGGGTGAGATGTTATCAACAAATTTTGTTGAAAATAAGAAAAAGTTTTGGAGTGAGATTAACAAGTTAAGAAAGCCTAGAGAACAAATGGATTTGTCAGTTAAAAATAGGAGAGGAGAGTTATTAAATGGAGAGTTAGAGGTATTGGGAAGATGGAAGGAATATTTTGAGGAATTGTTAAATGTTGATGAAGATAGGGAAGCTGTGATTTCGTGTATAGGGCAAGGAGGAATAACATCTTGTAGGAGTGAGGAAGAGCCAGTTGTGAGTGTGGGGGAAGTTCGTGAGGCAGTAGGTAAAATGAAAGGGGTAAGGCAGCCGGGATTGATGGGATAAAGATAGAAATGTTAAAAGCAGGTGGGGATATAGTTTTGGAGTGGTTGGTGCAATTATTTAATAAATGTATGGAAGAAGGTAAGGTACCTAGGGATTGGCAGAGAGCATGCATAGTTCCTTTGTATAAAGGCAAAGGGGATAAAAGAGAGTGCAAAAATTATAGGGGGATAAGTCTGTTGAGTGTACCTGGTAAAGTGTATGGTAGAGTTATAATTGAAAGAATTAAGAGTAAGACGGAGAATAGGATAGCAGATGAACAAGGAGGCTTTAGGAAAGGTAGGGGGTGTGTGGACCAGGTGTTTACAGTGAAACATATAAGTGAACAGTATTTAGATAAGGCTAAAGAGGTCTTTGTGGCATTTATGGATTTGGAAAAGGCGTATGACAGGGTGGATAGGGGGCAATGTGGCAGATGTTGCAAGTGTATGGTGTAGGAGGTAGGTTACTGAAAGCAGTGAAGAGTTTTTACGAGGATAGTGAGGCTCAAGTTAGAGTATGTAGGAAAGAGGGAAATTTTTTCCCAGTAAAAGTAGGCCTTAGACAAGGATGTGTGATGTCACCGTGGTTGTTTAATATATTTATAGATGGGGTTGTAAGAGAAGTAAATGCGAGGGTCTTGGCAAGAGGCGTGGAGTTTAAAAGATAAAGAATCACACACAAAGTGGGAGTTGTCACAGCTGCTCTTTGCTGATGACACTGTGCTCTTGGGAGATTCTGAAGAGAAGTTGCAGAGATTGGTGGATGAATTTGGTAGGGTGTGCAAAAGAAGAAAATTAAAGGTGAATACAGGAAAGAGTAAGGTTATGAGGATAACAAAAAGATTAGGTGATGAAAGATTGAATATCAGATTGGAGGGAGAGAGTATGGAGGAGGTGAACGTATTCAGATATTTGGGAGTGGACGTGTCAGCAGATGGGTCTATGAAAGATGAGGTGAATCATAGAATTGATGAGGGAAAAAGAGTGAGTGGTGCACTTAGGAGTCTGTGGAGACAAAGAACTTGTCCTTGGAGGCAAAGAGGGAATGTATGAGAGTATAGTTTTAACCAACGCTCTTATATGGGTGTGAAGCGTGGGTGATGAATGTTGCAGCGAGGAGAAGGCTGGAGGCAGTGGAGATGTCATGTCTGAGGGCAATGTGTGGTGTGAATATAATGCAGAGAATTCGCAGTTTGGAAGTTAGGAGGAGGTGTGGGATTACCAAAACTGTTGTCCAGAGGGCTGAGGAAGGGTTGTTGAGGTGGTTCGGACATGTGGAGAGAATGGAGCGAAACAGAATAACTTCAAGAGTGTATCAGTCTGTAGTGGAAGGAAGGCGGGGTAGGGGTCGGCCTAGGAAAGGTTGGAGAGAGGGGGTAAAGGAGGTTTTGTGTGCGAGGGGCTTGGACTTCCAGCAGGCATGCGTGAGCGTGTTTGATAGGAGTGAATGGAGACGAATGGTTTTTAATACTTGACGTGCTGTTGGAGTGTGAGCAAAGTAACATTTATGAAGGGATTCAGGGAAACCGGCAGGCCGGACTTGAGTCCTGGAGATGGGAAGTACAGTGCCTGCACTCTGAAGGAGGGGTGTTAATGTTGCAGTTTAAAAACTGTAGTGTAAAGCACCCTTCTGGCAAGACAGTGATGGAGTGAATGATGGTGAAAGTTTTTCTTTTTCGGGCCACCCTGCCTTGGTGGGAATCGGCCGGTGTGATAATAAAAAAAATATAAAAATTTTACTGCTTTTAGTAACCTACTTGTTTTTATATTTTTAATGTTGAGATAAAAACTATCTTAGAATTCAAGGAAAACTAAAGGAAAATTATTATTTATATTATTTATTATCACATTGGCCGACTCCCACCAAGGCAGGGTGGCCCGAAAAAGAAAAACTTTCACCATCATTCACTCCATCACTGTCTTGCCAGAAGGGTGCTTTACACTACAGTTTTTAAACTGCAACATTAACACCCCTCCTTCAGAGTGCAGGCACTGTACTTCCCATCTCCAGGACTCAAGTCCGGCCTGCCGGTTTCCCTGAATCCCTTCATAAATGTTACTTTGCTCACACTCCAACAGCACGTCAAGTATTAAAAACCATTCGTCTCCATTCACTCCTATCAAACACGCTCACGCATGCCTGCTGGAAGTCCAAGCCCCTCGCACACAAAACCTCCTTTACCCCCTCTCTCCAACCTTTCCTAGGCCGACCCCTACCCCGCCTTCCTTCCACTACAGACTGATACACTCTTGAAGTTATTCTGTTTCGCTCCATTCTCTCCACATGTCCGAACCACCTCAACAACCCTTCCTCAGCCCTCTGGACAACAGTTTTGGTAATCCCACACCTCCTCCTAACTTCCAAACTGCGAATTCTCTGCATTATATTCACACCACACATTGCCCTCAGACATGACATCTCCACTGCCTCCAGCCTTCTCCTCGCTGCAACATTCATCACCCATGCTTCACACCCATATAAGAGCGTTGGTAAAACTAGACTATCATACATTCCCCTCTTTGCCTCCAAGGACAAAGTTCTTTGTCTCCACAGACTCCTAAGTGCACCACTCACCCTTTTCCCTCATCAATTCTATGATTCACCTCATCTTTCATAGACCCATCCGCTGACACGTCCACTCCCAAATATCTGAATACATTCACCTCCTCCATACTCTCTCCCTCCAATCTGATATCCAGTCTTTCATCACCTAATCTTTTTGTTATCCTCATAACCTTACTCTTTCCTGTATTCACTTTCAATTTTCTTCTTTTGCACACCCTACCAAATTCATCCACCAATCTCTGCAACTTCTCTTCAGAATCTCCCAAGAGCACAGTGTCATCAGCAAAGAGCAACTGTGACAACTCCCACTTTGTGTGTGATTCTTTATCTTTTAACTCCATGCCTCTTGCCAAGACCCTCGCATTTACTTCTCTTACAACCCCATCTATAAATATATTAAACAACCACGGTGACATCACACATCCTTGTCTAAGGCCTACTTTTACTGGGAAATAATTTCCCTCTTTCCTACATACTCTAACTTGAGCCTCACTATCCTCGTAAAAACTCTTCACTGCTTTCAGTAACCTACCTCCTACACCATACACCTGCAACATCTGCCACATTGCCCCTCTATCCACCCTGTCATACGCCTTTTCCAAATCCATAAATGCCACAAAGACCTCTTTAGCCTTATCTAAATACTGTTCACTTATATGTTTCACTGTAAACACCTGGTCCACACACCCCCTACCTTTCCTAAAGCCTCCTTGTTCATCTGCTATCCTATTCTCAGTCTTACTCTTAATTCTTTCAATAATAACTCTACCATACACTTTGCCAGGTATACTCAACAGACTATCCCCTATAATTTTTGCACTCTCTTTTATCCCCTTTGCCTTTATACAAAGGAACTCTGCATGCACTCTGCCAATCCCTAGGTACCTTACCCTCTTCCATACATTTATTAAATAATTGCACCAACCACTCCAAAACTATATCCCCACCTGCTTTTAACATTTCTATCTTTATCCCATCAATCCCGGCTGCCTTACCCCCTTTCATTTTACCTACTGCCTCACGAACTTCCCCCACACTCACAACTGGCTCTTCCTCACTCCTACAAGATGTTGCTCCTCCTTGCCCTATACACGAAATCACAGCTTCCCTATCTTCATCAACATTTAACAATTCCTCAAAGTATTCCCTCCATCTTCCCAATACCTCTAACTCTCCATTTAATAACTCTCCTCTCTTATTTTTAACTGACAAATCCATTTGTTCTCTAGGCTTTCTTAACTTATTAATCTCGCTCCAAAACTTTTTCTTATTTTCAACAAAATTTGTTGATAACATCTCACCCACTCTCTCATTTGCTCTCTTTTTACATTGCTTCACCACTCTCTTAACCTCTCTTTTTCTCCATATACTCTTCCCTCCTTGCATCACTTCTACTTTGTAAAAACTTCTCATATGCTAACTTTTTCTCCCTTACTACTCTCTTCACATCATCATTCCACCAATCGCTCCTCTTCCCTCCCGCACCCACTTTCCTGTAACCACAAACTTCTGCTGAACACTCTTAACACTACATTTTTAAACCTACCCCATACCTCTTCGACCCCATTGCCTATGCTCTCATTAGCCCATCTATCCTCCAATAGCTGTTTATATCTTACTCTAACTGCCTCCTCTTTTAGTTTATAAACCTTCACCTCTCTCTTCCCTGATGCTTCTATTCTCCTTGTATCCCATCTACCTTTTACTCTCAGTGTAGCTACAACTAGAAAGTGATCTGATATATCTGTGGCCCCTCTATAAACATGTACATCCTGAAGTCTACTCAACAGTCTTTTATCTACCAATACATAATCCAACAAACTACTGTCATTTCGCCCTACATCATATCTTGTATACTTATTTATCCTCTTTTTCTTAAAATATGTATTACCTATAACTAAACCCCTTTCTATACAAATTTCAATCAAAGGGCTCCCATTATCATTTACACCTGGCACCCCAAACTTACCTACCACACCCTCTCTAAAAGTTTCTCCTACTTTAGCATTCAGGTCCCCCTACCACAATTACTCTCTCACTTGGTTCAAAGGCTCCTATACATTCACTTAACATCTCCCAAAATCTCTCTTTCCTCTGCATTCCTCTCTTCTCCAGGTGCATACACACTTATTATGACCCACTTCTCGCATCCAACCTTTACTTCTCTTTTCTCCTTCCATAACTGATCATTCAACATTACTGCTACCCCTTCCTTTGCTCTAACTCTCTCAGATACTCCAGATTGAATCCCATTTATTTCCCCCCACCGAAACTCCCCTACCCCCTTCAGCTTTGTTTCGCTTAGGGCCAGGACATCCAACTTCTTTTCATTCATAACATCAGCAATCATCTGTTTCTTGTCATCCGCACTACATCCACGCACATTTAAGCATCCCAGTTTTATAAAGTTTTTCTTCTTCTCTTTTTTAGTAAATGTCTACAGGAGAAGGGGTTACTAGCCCATTGCTCCCGGCATTTTAGTCGCCTCATACGACACGCATGGCTTACGGAGGAAAGATTCTTTTCCACTTCCCCATGGACAATAGAAGAAATAAAGAGGAACAAGAGCTATTTAGAAAAAGGAGAAAAACCTAGATGTATGTATATATATATATGCATGTGCGTGTCTGTGAAGTGTGACCAAAGTGTAAGTAGGAGTAGCAAGATATCCCTGTTATCTAGCGTGTTTATGAGACAGAAAAAGAAACCAGCAATCCTACCATCATGCAAAACAGTTACAGGTTTCTGTTTCACAGTTATCTTGCAGGATGGTAGTACTTCCCTGGGTGGTTGCTGTCTACCAACCTACTACCTAGGAAAATTAATTGCTATTATCTTTCAGAAAAACTGAAGCTTCAAGCAGCCTATCTTCCAGAAGAAAATAAGTTGGGAGATGCGCCATTGCCAAAAGGTTTAACAGTATCTTCCCCCTCGCCAACAAATGACGAGACCAGTGATGATGAGGACTTCATTGGGCCGCCACTGCCTCCTGGAATAAATTTACCCAAGGAGAGTGATGCAGAAAGTGGAGATGAGAGCAATGAAGAGGAGTACCCAATTCCCATTACTCATGAGCTGATTCTAGAACATGGTACAAAAACAGTTTCAGGCTTGGCTGTTGATCCATCTGGTACAAGGCTTGTCACTGGAGGCCTGGATTATGATGTAAGATATTGGGATTTCCAAGGAATGGACCAGGCACGAGAAGCATTTAGATCTTTCTGTCCTTCTGATGGTTACCCAATTAACAGTGTTGAATATAGCTGCACAGGTGATAAAGTTTTGGTGGTGCCAGGGTCTGCACAGGCTAAAGTGTATGACCGAGATGGTATAGAATTATTTGAATGTGTCAGAGGCGACATGTACTTGCATGATATGGCAAAAACAAAAGGGCATGTCGCAGGTTTAACTTGTGGCACTTGGCATCCAAAGGATAAGGAAGAGTTCATGACCTCTGCAAGAGACGGAACCTGTCGATTGTGGCACACAAGCCAACCTCACTCTCAAAAGAATGTTATAAAAGCACGAGCATTAAATGGCTTGAAAACTATACCTACTACTTGTACTTTCAATAAAGATGGAGTGTTAGTAGCATGTGCATGCGATGATGGTTCCATACAAATGTGGGATCACCGCAAGAATTTTGTCAATGTGACTATAAATATAAAGAATGCACACACCAGAGGAAGTGACACCTCAGGCTTAGTGTTTGCTTATGATAACAGAGGTTTTGCCACAAGAGGAGGGGATGATACTCTAAAGTTGTGGGACATGCGTAATACGAAACAAGCAGTGCACACTGCTAAAGATCTTTTCAATAGGTTTGGAATGACAGATTGTATATTCAGTCCAAATGACCAGATTTTAGTAACTGGAACTTCTCTAAACAGAGGTGAAACTAAAGGTAAATTAATAATGTACAACTGCAACACATGGGACATTGTTAAAGAGCTTGAAGTTGGCCCAAGTCATGTGGTAAAAATAATTTGGCACCCTAGATTAAACCAGATTATGCTTGGCTGTGGGGATGGCAAAGTACGCCTTCTTTACGAACCTAAAGTTTCGCACAATGGTGCAATTCTAGTTGCAGGTAAGCACAACAAGCGGTCTAAACAGGCTGAAGTGGTAGTGTCCCAGCAAGTAATTACACCACATGCTTTACCAATGTTCCGAGAGGAAAGACACAAGTCTACCCGAAAACTGGAGGAGAGAGACAGGAAAGACCCCGTAAAGTCCCGCCAGCCAGACCTACCTGTTGGGAAGGCAGGGTCAGGAGGGCGTGTCTCAGCTGGTGGTTCAACTCTCTCATCTTATATCATTCGTAACATGGGGCTTAGGAATAAAGTACATGAAGAAGGAGATCCAAGAGAAGCTTTGCTAAAGTATGCAAAGGATGCAGAAGAAAACCCATATTGGGTTACTCCAGCATACACAAAAAATCAACCCAAACCTGTCTTCCAAGAAGAAAAGGAGACTAAAGAGGAAGAAATTGAGGAACCAGCAACAAAAAAAGTTAAAACTTAATATAAATAATCATCTCTGCCCTTTGCCCTTGTTTCTTAAAATGTACAAAATTAAATGGAATGTGAAAATAAGTTGCATTTGTAATGCAGTATGTTTAACCTATCAGTAAATTTTTGTTTATAATAAAACAGGAATACCCACTATGAAGTTTTGTAAATCAGTTGCCTTTAGGGTTAAAAGTACAGCTCAGCCTCCTTACTTGTTATACACTTTATGCAACTAACTGGACTTTCTCCCCTTCCTTAGATTGAACCTGAATGCCACCCAGGTGCTGTATAACCCCTACAGGTTTAGCACTTCCACACGATTAAAATGGATGGAAAATATTTGCTATATCTATCTGCTTGTTTAAATTTCTTACACAAGAAAAACCTATTATAATCAAATTAAACACTAAGCCCAAAGGGGTCTTACAGCACCTACAATTATAATAAAGGGCAAGTGCCAAACCCATAGGAGTCATTCAGTATGTAGCAAGGGAAAGGCAAACTGGTTCTATCCACAGAGGACATTCACTTCCCTGGATCAAGAGCCCCTCACCAGCATCAAAGCACCTTGATAGGAGGGAAGCTTGTGCAAGTTCTGGTTCATCCCAGAAGCCCAGTTTAAATTAGAATGAAGAGCATGTGACAAATCAAAGATAGGAATTACTTGCAATCCATGCAACAGTAGTGCAGCAGAAGATGCAGACAATAGCAGTATGAGGATTCACAGCAAGAAATTCTTACAACACTGCTATGAAGCTACCAGCTGCCTACTTTAGCTGACTTGTCACATCATGAGATTTGTGCAACTTTATAGGACTGTTGTGGACAAACTAAACTTGTAATACTTCATCAAATTAAGACACTATCAGTTAACACTTGGCAATAGTGAAACTAATAATTACAATCATGGGGGAGTGCTAAACCCATAGGACTATACAGCACACATGGGGAGGGGGGAGAATGGAAGGTATTCAGGCTTAATTCAGGAACAAAAGCACGGATCCAATTATCATCATGGAGAAGCACTAAACACAGTCAATTCCCTAAATCAAGGTCCCCTCACCAGCATCAAGGAACCTCTCTTGAGAGGCTGAAACTAAAACCTTTGGCTGCCACTCCCTGATCTGTAGGTAACCCTATATACTATATTAAGAACTTCCATTATGTGGCCCAGTCAGCTTGAAGTGGTTAAACACTATCACAGAACACTACAACAAAGCTCGAAGTTAAAAAGCTGGACAGTGATCTTTTTTTGTTAATTAAAAATTTACTTTCATGAACCTGATATCACAAATATAAGCAGAAAAAAAAGTGTGAAGGTTTGATCAAAGTTAATTATTATTAGAATCAAAACTAAGCACTAAACCCACCAGGGGCATACAGCACTGCAGAGTAGGGTGTGCTAAAAGTTATGTGCTCGATCTGACACTAGCAAGGGTGGGGAGTTGATAAGGGCAGTGAGGAGTGCTAAAGAAAGTATAATCAATTTTTTTTTTTTTTTTTTTTTTTTAAAAAGTCGGCCGTCTCCCACCGAGGCAGGGTGACCCAAAAAGAAAGAAAATCCCCCAAAAAATACTTTCATCATCATTCAACACTTTCACCTCGCTCACACCATCACTTTTTGCAGAGGTGCTCAGAACACAAGTTTAGAAGCATATACGTAGAAAGATAAACATATTCCTCCAAACTGCCAATATCCTGAACCCCTCCTTTAGAGTGCAGGCATTGTACTTCCCATTTCCAGGACTCAAGTCCGGCTATATAAAAATAACCGGTTTCCCTGAATCCCTTCACTAAATATTACCCTGCTCACACCCAAACAGATCGTCAGGTCCCAAATACCATTCGTCTCCATTCACTCCTATCGAACACGCTCACGCACGCCTGCTGGAAGTCCAAGCCCCTCGCCCACAAAACCTCCCTTACCCCTTCCAACCTTTTCGAGGATGACCCCTATCCCGCCTTCCTTCCCCTACAGATTTAAACGCTCTCCATGTCATTCTACTTTGATCCATTCTCTCTAAATGGCCAAACCACCTCAACAACCCGTCTTCAGCGTTCTGACTAATACTTTTATTAACTCCACACCTTCTCCTAATTTCCACACTCCGAATTTTCTGTATAATATTTACACCACACATTGCCCTTAGACAGGATATCTCTACTGCCTCCTCGCTGCTGCATTCACAACCCAAACTTCACACCCATATAAGTGTTGGTAGTGCTATACTTTCATACATTCCCTTTGCCTCCATAGATAACGTTTTTTTTTGTCTCCACATATACCTCAATGCACCACTCCTCTTTTTTTTCTCATCAATTCTATTATTATTATTATAATCAAAAAGAAGCGCTAAGCCACAAGGGCTATACAGCGTCATCAGTTCTATGATTAACCTCATCCTACATAAATCCATCCGCCGACATGTCAACTCCCAACTATCTAAAAACCATTTTCTTCCATACTACTACTACCAAATTTGATATCCAATTTTTCTATCTAAATCACTTGATACCCTCATCACCTTACTCTTTTCTATGTTCACTTTCAACTTTCTACCTTTACACACACTCCCAAACTCGTCCACTAACCTTGCAATTTTTCTTTGGAATCTCCCATAAGCACAGTATCATCAGCAAAAAGCAACTGTTAATTCCCATTTTGAATTTGATTTCCCATAATTTAATCCCACCCCTCTCCCCAACACCCTAGCATTTACTTTTACAACCCCATCTATAAATATATTAAACAACCATGGTGACATTACACATCCCTGTCTAAGACTTACTTTTACCGGGAAGTAGTCTCCCTCCCTTCTACACACCCTAACCTGAGCCTCACTATCCTCAAAAAACTCTTTACAGCATTTAGTAACTTACCACCTATTCCATGTACTTGCAACATCTGCCACACTGCTCTGTTGCTGTCAAAAAGTTAGAGGGAGTCTTTGAAAGGTGGGGCAGTCACCTAGGAGGGAAGAAAGTGTGATTATTATTATAATCAAAAAGAAGCGCTAAGCCACAAGGGCTATACAGTACTGCAGGGCAGGAAGGAAGCGAGGACATCAGGTGACAAAAGGGAGATGGAAGAGTAATAGGTTACGGAGAACAGCGGGGCAGTGGATAGTGAAAGGGTAGAGGGCAGCAAGAGATTGAGGTAGAAAGGACTGAGGGGAGTGCAAAAGGTATCAGTTTGTGGAGTAAATCAGTCATTGTCAAGAAGTCAATGGAGAGTCAGGATTAAAGGAGTGTCCATCAGCAAGAAGAGAAGGTAAAGAGAGAGTAGTAGAGCGGAGACGACAACGGAGGTAAGTTCTGCGTGCTTGTTGATAGAGGGCAGTCTAATAGAATGTGGCTAATCGATACTGGAACTTGACACTGCTCACAGAGGAACAGGGTGCCTCTCCATGAGATACTCGTGGGCAAGACAAGTGTGACCAATGCGAAGGCGGGAGAGAGTAGTCTCCCAACCTCGGCACTGATGACAAGACTGCCAGTAACCTATGCTCGGTTTAATAGAATGAAGTTTGTTACCGAGCAGAGTTGACCAATGTTGTTGCCAACGGGTGTAAAGGTGGGTAGCTATTACAGCAAAATAGTCCAGAAATGGAACACCTCTATATGAAATTGGTAGGTCATGTACTGCTGACCACGTAGCAGTGCCTGCCTGTTCATTGCCCTGTATGTCAGAAAGTGTTAGAGCAGTGACCATGTAACAAGATCCAAGGAAATAGCCCAAATTTGTTACACCTGGTGCATCACAAAGTACCCATCTAAAGGAGAAGTGGCTTATTGAAATATCAGAGCGAGAGCAATTAGTATTCAAAGATTATATACATCTTGAAAATGCCTCCTTGATCCTAGTCAAATTATAATAAAAAAAAGCAGCACTAAACCTACAAGGGTCATACAGTGTTGCTGGGCAGGGAAGGTTGCAGGGTATTGGGTAGCAAGAGGGAGAGGGAGGATTATTAGGTCATGGAGTGCAGCAGGGCAGTGGATAGTACAGGGGTAGAGGGTAGCAAGAGATTGAGGTAGAAAGGGCCTGGAGGAGTACTAGAGGAATCGGAGTTTGTGCAGTAAATCGGTTAATGTCAAAGTCAGCGAGTGTGTCTGGGTTAAAGGGGAGTCCATCAGCAGGAAGGGAAGGTAAACTAAGGGCAGTAGACTGGCAACTACTTTGGCGGTAAATTCGATCCTAGTCAAATATGGTGAGCAAACTTATTCAGGAACAGCAGCACCATCTCTTGCTTTACCTCTATCCACTTACCAAAAAGCATATAGCTCACAGTTAGGCTGCAGCTCCAGGTTGAAGTAAACCTGCCATCAATACTACCTGAAAGTAGCAAGTACGGCTTAACTGATGCCGCAGGGTAAAAGAAAATACAATTTTGAGTGAGGAATATTTACTTTTGACCGAATAATTTTAACAACTTTGTATAAGAATACAAATCTGAAACAAAGAAATTTCCGAAGTTCGACAATAAAACTATCCTCACTTTTTTTTTTTATTTTTTTGTCTTCACCCTCCCACTTCCCCTCCCCCCCCCACCAAACATTCTTTGTCACATCTTTAAGAATTTTAAAAAATATCCAAATTCAACCATTTTTAAGAGAAAGTATAAAAAATATTTAGTAATTACCTGCAGATATAATGAGGGTAATCCTTGCTAAACATCATGAACTTAATACAGTAATAAACTTGTACAGCAGAATTACACTGCATTTGCCTTTCACAATTTTATTAATGAAAATAAATAAGTATTCCCCAGAAAACAAGAAAATCTAATAATTGCATGACATACTCTTACATTTTAAATTATAGGCTGGTTCAAGAGCAACCTTGAATGTTGCCACTTCACTGGAGGGGGGGAAAACAAAATCACTATTACTATCTATTCCATGTGAATTAATGATCTTCATGAAGTATTTCAACGCTGCAGCCATGATCTACAAGAGCAGCAACTTTCTGCCTTCAGAATTATACATTCTCTGGATGGTCTGTTTTTCTGTAACAGAGGAATGTGTTCATACAGATACACCAAGGCATTTTAAATTTCTTTAATTATTGAAGATCTAGTGAAGCCTGTATATTATCCAGGAACATACCAATCAAGCTGGCAATAACTTAATTTTCCATTATTGGAAATTCTGCC